ACCGCATTGAAGTGTCGTTGTAAGATTGTGTCAACTAAAAAAATATGAGAAACGACGTTCCTTGAAGTTACTGCGCCATAAATTCTCGTCTATCACAAACTTGGGTATAATTAAACACTCATCTGCCTGCCATTAATGCCGCCAACTGTCTTAATTTGCTCTAACTTCGTGATACACAACTGTCTTATGTGAATAACAAATGAGCTGTATCCAGGACAGCCATCGCCCAGCCCTCGTATGTTCACTTTGCCTATGATGGACACAAACTAAAATGCTGAATACCTGCCAGCATCATCGAAGTGTTGGACAATGTGCATCAGACATAAATAGTCGATGACTGAGCCTTCAGATTGCTATGTTGTCTGAAAACACGGTCAGTGAAAGCCGACCGAAACTGCTGCTAACAGAACATGTCCCCTGCATTTGAACCTGCACCCACTCTTCGTAACGCAATAAATCTGTACATCTGCTTCTTCGCCATTTATTGAAAAGCGATTTACCTGTTGGATAAAACTTATACTAAGGAAGGGACTCCTTATCACATCACAGAATCAGCGATTATCTGCCGATAAGATGTGTTTACCGAACTGGCCGACCCGCCATCTTTTCAAGTGCATGACGAAACCTTAACCGAAGTAGACCGCTTAGAACCGTCCTGCGCGTTGTTTACTGTCAAACGAAAGCCACATAACTTCGATTGTGGATGGACTACCAGTTGATATCCGTAAAAATTAATCACGTTTAATATCTGGACGATTTGAGAAGATATTTTAGCGAATATTGCGTATAGAGTTTGTTCAACCGGGTCAAAAGCGATGCCGCTGTAATAGATTCCTTTAAGCAAGAAGAGATTCCACAATCAAAGAGCGCTCGCCCAACAGATTTCACCTTAGGAATCTTGGCGGATATCTTTAAATGCTTCTCCGTACAGCGTGCGCACAACACTCTCCGTTGACTTTGAAAGTGCCTGTTATCTCCATGCCAGTGTCGAGCGAAGAGAGAACTTGGAGAATTTAGGGGTGTAACCAAAGTCCTCCGGCTCGAAGGCTGGGAAACGGGACCTCTACATGCTGTTGTCGAGATGTTTGACACATCATGTCTAGGGGATAGTGCATCTCAATCCATGTACTGCAGAACAATGACGTATCGCGAAATGAATCGGGGATTGGTGGGATTGCAGCGATAACGAACTAAAAGCGTGAACAGTTGGTTTGATCGGATTTGAATAGGCCTCCGGTATTGGGAATGGCTGCGAGCCAGCCACTGACGTGCCTGCACAACTCTGGTTTGCGATGCTGTTGGCCCTGAAGTCTGCTAAAGCATCAGTGGCAGCAGCCAGTTCTAGCTCAAGTAGCAAGTGCACCTGTTTCCTCATGTTATGTGTCTATGACACAGAACGGCAAGTTTTTTGAGAAAATCTTGGACTCAAGATGTATTTCTAATCGTCCACCTGTGGAGACTGAGCATTTCTGGATGTCACGGTAGAGTATTCAGTGTTTATTCTGGAAGGGGTTTGAAAATTCAAGATTTTGGCTAATTTTTATTCCCATAAACGTCCCTCTTCGAGGAGCAGCGCCTCACCAAATTTAAATACTGGAATTTGTCAACAAAGTTAAATGCTGTTGTCCCGAGTTTTTATGACAATCTGCGTTAAATGTTTAATCACAGCTCAGACTACATTGTTTTCAACATAGATATCTGTCAAAGACTTCATTTCTCTTCAAAGTAATGTCGGTTGTGGGCGCGCGTAAACACTCTTTGGAGGACTTCTTCGATCTACTACCAGCTTTGCGTTCAAAGTTTGAAGACTATCCAGCCTGTTTACGGAAGACCGCCTTTTGCGCACGTTTCGCCACTCTGCGCAATCAACTCGACCGGATTGCACTGCAATGTGACATGAAGATTAATCAGACCGGTCCTATCACCACGGCACTGGGTCAACCGGCAGGAATTGCATGGCGGTTATCCTCGGAATGTTTTGCTGTCGTCGTTTCTGCAGTGCCTATCGAGGGCTACAGTCTCCCTCCGGGCACTACGCCACCACAAGACGACCTAGCTAGTGTGTCGGCTGTCCATTTTGAATTCAACCAGGAGAAGCCTGTTGTGAGTCCCGATTGAATGAGAGAGGTTGTTCATCTAACAATTTGATTTCACTCATATATTTTTAGCTTTATGACTAAGGAAATGCTGAAAAAATTTCCGCTTTGTTCACCATTGCAGAAACATTAGTCCGGGCCAATCTCGCAACCAGGACTTCCTTTATAGAAATGCTCTCAACCGAATGGCTGCATGCGTTGTCTGCATTCGTCTTTTATTAAACTATCTTGGCAGATAGGAAATTCTTTCAAAACTTCTTTGGTCTACTTGAAAATGCCTAACTGTCCAGGTTTTTATGAATGCATCAAAGTGAATATTGTGAGGGGTAATTAGATACATCCCGAGAAACTGCAGTTTATAAGTTATTGGTCTTGCAAAATAAGTTATGGACTAACGACTTCGTCTGTCACCTTTACTGACCGACTTGCATAAAACTTGTATAATGAATGTCATGCACCTACTGAGGGGCTTTTAAACTGAAATGTTTTAATGAGAGGGCTTATCGAAAAAAATTTATCAGGAACTTGTTATTGCAATGTACTGATGCTCACTAGACATCACGGCACGTTAACACGGCTTTAAATACCTGTCATAGAGACTAAGGTCAGTCGCGCCTGATTCTTCTCCTTTCTCGTCTATCAATGGTTGTGGGCTGAACTCATGCGGCTTTGAAAATCGTTTATGAAGAATACGTTAAATACGTTCGCGTGTTTTGAATCTGCGCTTAGGAAAGCCTATCTTATTTCGCTTTTCCCAGTCGTTTGGCTTGTAACATCAGAATTAGTCATTTTGTGACCGGATAAATACCCTTTTCCTGCTTGTCGACGTTTTTTGGTCTGGTTTGCCTTAATTCTGTCATTGCTCCGTTCCCCTTCTTTTTTACTTCCCTTTTATCTAAATTTTCTTACAGTTGTGCGAGGAGCTAGTTGACGAATTGCGAAAACGTAACTACAACGCACTGCTTGCTCACATAACCAACTTACTTGCTCTGTACAACGTCCCTGGGGATAGGTAAGTCAGCTCTACCACCTTCATTCCGTCTATGTTGTTACTTTTTCGAGGGGATTATCAGAATTGCTTTGTTTGTGACCGGGTGAAATGATTACTCACTAGGTCTTTGTGGCAAGGGTATGCTGGCCGACAAATCGAACATGAATTTCTTGTTAATACCTAATCATTGCGAGGGCACGTGAACCCAATGACCACAATTGCTACGCGATTGCCTGGTCGTGGCCACTGATAACTGGTCCCCAGGGTTATTGCTTACAACGGGGGATGTTGTTTACAATGAAGCAACTGATCCACATTAGCAATTTCTTTCCTTCAACCGGGCTTAGATCTGCTTCCTCGATGCTGTCCTACATGTTAGGTAGAACTATCCCTTTGGGTGTGGCCTCAGCTCCCTAGATGACACAGAAAAACTGAATCTTTCTTTTTACTACATGTTTTGGGGACCATTTCGACCTATTGCCTTTACCATCAGCTAGATCCTATGCGTGCGTTATTTTTCTTGCTTTTATACATCTGATGTGATTTGCGCCGAATATTTTGGAACTACATTCTTCACCCCATTCAGGTCGCATAGATGCAGAGCCTTTCTCTGTTTGAGAGTGCTGGAAGAAGATCTCGCAGTGCTTTCTGCGGCCGCCAGTACTGACTCCGGAGGCGGTGCCGTTAACCCACCACCAGTTAACCTCTCGCCGCGGACTGCCTCCGAGGTTGCCACCCTTGTGCAGTCCATCAACTTCTCAGCCATTGGCCAGATTGAGCCCAGGGCGGGCGGACGTTTCGCTGCCCTCACCTACTTTGTCTCACCTGCACAAGAAGCGATTGCCAAATCAAGTATCGTGAAGCGGACATCCTCTCCTACCAGCCTTCGAGGCCTCCTCAAGGGATTTTTCGCTTTTGTTGGTCTACGCGCCACGACAGACAAGATTCAGCACAACTTACCCTTTATACCTCTCGTTAACCTACAGAAGGACGAGTCGGGACTCAAGTACGTCTTTTTCTTGGGAGCCATCTGGATCTTTCATCTAAGCATTGTAGTTGCGCGATGCCAACTTTGGCACAGTATTGGAGAAGTTTTCGCATGCGCACTTGGTGTTGACCCTGTGGTGTTCTCGTATGTGCGTGTTTAGTTTCCTTTGGATTCCAGCCCTAACCGGAAGGCCCAGTACATAGTTCGCAGACCGGGACATCCACTAATAGGACAAAAACTTTTACAATAGCTTTGCGCATTTACAGACTGCCGATAAAGCCCTTATTTGAACTCTCAAATTTGTCAGAAACGGTCATTTTATATGAAACAATCCAAACTTCTCCCTCGGCTTACTCGATAAATCCACAATCAATCTTGACTTCCGGCCTTGATGCTACCCCGTGCACTCCTGCACCATCGCGCTTTTCTCCGAACATAAAGTTGGGTGTTCTTTAAAAAAAATCGCATCTTTTTCAGTCCTTAGCTGGCTCTTATCCTTATGACGAAGAAACTGTTTTCCTCTTGTGGCTGTCTGATGAGGGGTTAAAGTTAGAATCCGGGAAGTCGGGGAATAAGGCGCCTGTTTTGGCCATCGTTCCTTCGTATTCTTCTCGCACTACTTCCCTTTATGCTCCATATGATCGTCAGGGATCGTAAGGCTCCTTCGTTAAACTGAAGAGGGGTTACGCTGAGTACTTGGGCTAACGTTAACTGTAATTAAAATCACTGGATGGAGGAGGTTAGCGCCAAATTCCCTCCCACATCTGGGGCCCCACCACGATGCGGAGGGTCGAAGTCTGACGTGCATTGTCCAACTAATAAATGTCCTTAGAGTCCGAGGATGATGCTGCTCTATGGCAGCTACAAACCACTACTAAATACGTCTCCTTCCCATTCTTCCCGTGAGATTAGGTTCCAGTTATCCGGCAGGCTAGGAAACACGGTTTTGACCTTGCAAACCGGGCGACTATAGTGGACCAGCGTTCACAAAAAATGCGGAGCGGTTTCACGCAAAGCCTAGGATTCATGCCACACCACTGACGGGACTGACGTGCTTCACAAACCTCTTTGACATTTTTGGACGAATAGCAGGCAGACTGAACGACTTGATCGGGTGACAACTCATGGTACTAGGATACCAGAACGTGCCTTGACCATGGTGTACAATCTGCCACTTTCAGCCTGCATTATTGCAATATGAATGCTTCCTGTTTCATTAAAGGCCTACTCATTGATTGTGGCGCCAGGGATATCGAGGTTCTCGTAGGGAAACCTTTTTGCTCCATGAAAGTGGTCTGCACGGCGCTTTGGCGGAGCGCGTGATGATAATTGGCCTATCGGAACGGCCAAGTAAGGCGTTACTGGCTTGAGAGCCAATAAGTGATTTGCTGGCGTACATGTGACTGAATGGACGTCTGTCCACCGTCGTTGTCACCGCCATCTGTTATCCAACAGCTTTTGACTCCTTTTTTCATGTCCCTTTTCACAGCGGCCAGACCCAGCAGACCTACTATTCGTTACAGATAATTTGAAAGGTTGACTATGGAATCTTGCTGTATTTTTCATACTCATCAACAGATTACCTCCCAGAAATCTATGATCGTTTCTTCCTAACCGTGATATTCCAAAATCGGGATGTTGTTATGAAAACGCTCGGTAAATTTGCCGAGTCTGGAACATATTTTTTGCAATAAAAGTGGGGTACTTTTGTTAGTTATTCTTAGGCCGGAGGCAATTGGTTCGTTTGCCGAATAATACACGTGTAATTGTCTAAAAGCCAGTTTAACTGCCTTCCGTCCGTTAAGTCAGCATTTAATATGAGGCAACCTTATACACAAGTCGATTGATTTAAGCAAACATTTCTGTTCAAAGTCTGTTGTTCATGTTTACGCTCACTTCTTTCTCTAACTTTGAGTATTTTTCTACCATATTTTCTATTCAGCGCAACAATTGTAACAAGTAGCCGTTTGTGTTTCACTCTCGGCGAACCTTTCGTTCTCAGTAAATTACTTTTTTCATGCCCCTCCGTACTGTATGTCTTTAGTATTGCACAATTTGCTACCGCGGACAACATAAAGTGTGGACCCATCGCCGCTGAATTTGTACTGTTCCTGCATCCGCCTCTCATCCTCACCGCAGAGGCCACGGCTGATGTTGAGAAAATAACAGGTGAGCTGTGAAATACTGATTAGATGCGTGAACATGAAGAGGAGATTCCGCGTCGTGTCGCAGAATTTCCTTTCTTAATGAATGTATTGGTTTCACTTTTGTTCCTATGACCACTCCTGTGACTTAGACGGAAGAGAGACAGAATCAGACGCCGGGTATGTCATTAAAGAAATAGTCCATACGACCAATTGAAAGGACACGGACCTGCAACTCCACTGGTCAAGCGTCTGACTCGAAGGTCAAATCCCAAATCTAATTTTCCCGTCTGGATTTAAGGTGCGGCTATTTCAGTCTGTCCTTTCCATTTCGGTAACAATTCTCCAGTGTCCTGTACATCAGTGAGATTACTTGCTACTTCGGCGGGAAGCATTATTCCAGTTTCTTGTGTTACGCTATCCATGTGGAATTATGCAGTCTGCATTGTCACTGGGTTCTTGGCTTCATTTTGCACTTATTACGTTTATTATTGTTAATGTTCGACGAGAAACCAGCACCGAGCTGCGCTATTCTAGGCGGTCGTTGATTAGGTAAGACAGGTGCGTAAGGCTATCTTACAATTCCAGAATTTAAGCCCACTCTGTCGCCTCTTTATGGTGCTATAGTGGTCGTCCTTTTCACAGCATCTAGATTTTCACAAAAACGCTTTCTTCATAAACCCCATTTGCAGGTGACTTTGACTTCTGCCAGTATTTGAGATATTTTCGAAGGGATTGGGTCACACTGTTGTAACTTTGGTTGCGTTTTCCTTACCAGGCAGACAGCGATGTTAGTGAGACCGATGTTTGTTACATTATTCCCTCTATGCTTCTAGGAGTTTTCTATAACGAATACAGTGAAGCTCTGTGGTACACAGAATGAGTTGTCGGTTACTACCAGTGGAATGCAGTAATTCCCGAAAAGTACACTTAATTTGACAAAAATAGGACGCATTTGCACCAGGCAGACCCGTCCACCTCCTAGGGGGCTCCAGCTATCCCGTCTATCTTTTTCACGATCTTACTCGTCATTTACCAACAGTTGGCATGTCTGCCTTTGCATCGCAGTCTAAAACCAGCTCGAGCCGTGAAGGACCCTGGTTCTCGTCTACGGCTGACACATTTATTTTAAGTGTTTATTTCAGCTTAACTGGCCGCATAGGGTATAAACTGTGGTCCGACAGGGGAGTAGGTAACCCTCCACCGTGTTACAGATGACCTTGTTCTAGGTTGCCCACCGATCGTTCTTACGGAACTCACTCGTTTCGTTGTGCCTTATGGACTCTCTTTCGAGCCCAACCAGCAGCCGCACAGCGCCTATTCTACAAACGAGTAGTACCACAAGTAGTATGAATATTGTGTGGCAATTATTGGCTTGATTATTCCCTAGAGTTCATATACCAGAAACCGGATAGAGGACGCTGGGGGACCCACTGAGGAGCCGAACCCCTTACAGCTGTGTCACGCAGCAGCAGAATATCGGCGAAACACGTGTCTGGGCTTTTAGCCAGCACCTCCCCCGGGAGTGCGGCATAACACTTTTGCCATTTAAAATCCATACTACTTGTAATACTGATCGTTTTTAGAACGGGCATTACGTGATTGTTCCAAAGAAATTGATTTTCTTCGACTCAAATGTGCATTAAAATTTCGGGTCTGACCCCAAAAAGTCGTCCCGGAGACGTAACTCCATGTCCTACGCTTAAGGATATCTGAAATTATTAGCTTGATATATATATATATATATATATATATATATATATTTATGATAGTGGCTAATGGCCGTGGCTTCGTACTCCAGAGTCCAGGTGGAGGAGGAGAGAGTGCGGTAGATGCAGCGAAAGTCTTCATCCACTATAAAGTAAATCACATGCAAGTCATTGTGTCTGCTTCACCAGGCTGTGGAGCACACTATGGACATCGTCGGCAAAGACGGTCGAACTAACTAAAGTATTATAGGGAACATTTGTGTTCAGCTCAACATCCAAAAACTCTGGGGTATCACAAATTTTGATCCTCCACATTGTCACCATTTAAAAGGTGACACTGTTTTTACCGTTTAATGATAATAATAAGTGAATTTAATGCCTCTTTGAAGACTGCCAAAAAGGTATTGCATTGTCGTATTTTTACTCCGATGACTACCTTAATGCATCATGACCACCCTCACGCAACAACTACCGCGATCTCTTTTTATTTCTTTCTCTGACAAGTACAAATAAATATCGCCGGTTATTTTCCAGAAAAATTGCTCCCCCGAGTAAGCAGTCCCGGTCATAAACCTTATCCTTGCTTTATCTTTTTGTTGGGATAGATTTTTGAAGGTGCCATCCGATGATTCTTGGACTTCGCGCGTAATCTTCACTTCCCTTGCTAAGCTCAATCAAATCTCTAAAAAAAAACAATTAAATTGTTCTTAGATTTATTTGCCATCATCGGTCTGTGATTTGAGCAGTTCGATCAAAAGTCGATACACTTTGGGACTTGCGGAGGCCTAGATGTGCCATTTGTGAAGGTCGCAGTCCAGATTCTTCTCGTACCGCAATGAACTTCCAGGAGTTATCAATATTATAATTATTTGAACATGTTGTTCCAACTAATTAAGCAAAAACACCTGTTGAGGCCATCAGCCTAATTGTCGCCTCCCTTTTCGTCTATTATCGAGGGGATTTCATCAAGTGTGTTGCCATTTTTTATGCTCCCCCTTTCTGCCTTCAGGTATTCCTTTGGTCTCCTCTGACAACTGTCCGCCGGAACCAGTCCATTCCCTCATTCTTCGTCGACACAACCAGGAAGCCCTGCGACTTGTTGATGTTCACATGGTTAGTTTGCCTGTTCGCTTTCCGTCAGTGCTCCCATACCTCATCTTGCGGTCAGACCTCCGTTGCTGGGTCTTCATACATAGTTTCACCCAATACCCTTTAACGGATCTGACTGATATAGGTTTCTTTTTATACTTTTTTGGGCTTGCAGTCGCTTCCAAATAGATCGCAACACGTCTACCATCTGAGGCCTGAACATTCTAATAAACTGCAAGGCTACTGTGTGACGGAAATTGCTTTCACATCGCCCAGTCAACTGCCGGCTCTAATTAGTCTTCTTCGTCGAAATGCCGCCTGGCTGTCCTTTATGGAGTCCTTCGTTCTACACCCCAAGAAGCCAGTAAGCAAAGGTTAGTGTAGGCCATTTACTTGACAATAGTATTCTGCATTAATGAGGACTCGCTTTCCCGAATCAGAGCAAAAGGCATAAACACTCATTTGTTTGTTGTTCTAGATTACTCCTGTGAAGACGCAGGTTGCCACTTAGATCTAAGCTTAACCCTTAAGACGCTCTTTTGGGCATGCCTTTACCACCAACATCAGCATGCAACCCTTTCCGCACATAATTAACCAATCCTGCGCTGCAAATTTGTCAACACTAGTCTTTTCTATCGTCCCTTCGTCTTCTTTTAGGATTGTTTTCCCATTACAGATTAAAAAAACAGCGGGTTAGTGTTGAAAACCATACCGGAAGCTGAAAAAGTATAATGCCCCCACCGACCTTTTCGGCTATGCTCTGCTCAGCTGATGCTGTGGGCACTCCACGACGTGTACAGTGGCAGTGTTGCCTTTCAGTACATTAAGGACAAAGATATATGTGTATATTCTGCAGCATCCATGGTGGGAAGCTCAAAGATCATGTCTTTGCGCGAACCGGGTCTGATGTTATACGATGGCTCGTTAAGCGGCAGGAACTTGACTGGTCACATCTGGGCAAAATCATCGACCGTCGAGGTAGGCCTATCAACGCAAGGATGCCTGAGACAGAGTTGCTTTGGGCTTGTCCATAACAGCCATGTCTTCTGCGTTTTTCAGTACTCATACGTAAAATAATTTGTGACGCATATAAGTAGCGTTCACTTATCTATTCAGGTTGCAGCCGTTTTTTCCACATGTGGTTATTAGTTCCAAAACTGTTCGACATAAACGTTTCCTGACAGTACTTTCACGATTCCATTTCATTCTAATGAAGGACCGTCGCAAAAATAATGCACTATCATACTCCGACTAGTTAGTCCAGGAGCTGGGCGATGAACAACCACGTCATCCCATCAGAAATTCTCTAAAGTAACTTTGAAGATGGACCGTTCGCACGTTATAGAGGGCAGTAAATGCCATCATTCGATCCAAGATGTGGACAGTATCAAATAGGTGCTTTATTCCTAGAGTGCTACACACTTTGTTTTTTGCATTTAAATTCACTTGAATGTGTTCGGTCCACCGACTTAAACAACTTAGTGGTCTGTGCAATGAAGACATCTTTAATTCATGCAATCTATATTGTCGTTGTTAAGCGGAGGAACGTACAGTCAGTGACCGACCTCACGAAATGTAGCCGAAATCCTGAAATGCGTTTCCTTTTAGGAAGGATTACTTAAGTGGAATTCTAACAATAATTCTTGTACAGCATAATCCCAATCCATTTCAGTAACGTCAGGATGCCGGCTTTTTAATGCGTTTTTCCTTCGGTTGCCTGCAAAAACAACACTCGATGAAAAGCGACTTCTTGAGTAGCACCCGTTTTTTAAATTGATTTTCGACAGCCTTATAAATTCAAATGTACTTCATAGGAAACGTGCACAAACTTTCATTTCTTGTATTTATTTGATAGCAAATAACGTTTTCTTAAAGTTGTATACTCAAAGTAAGGGCATCTTTCGGTTTTAATAAAGTTTCTAATTATGAGATTTTTTAAGACTTTGTGATTTCCACCGTATCTGTCCGTTTACTGACGCTCCTCATGAAGTATACAGCATAATCCACATCTACTGAAAAGTCTTATGAGTCCTATAGGGTACCTTCTTAATGGCATAAATGAATGTTTGATTTTCGTTGCACTGAAAGCATGTAGCCTAGGGACTGAAAACCCTGAACGTAAGTGCAACAACAGACAGGGCTCAACATTATTCGAGAATTGAAAATCTTTCTTAAATCAACGTATACCCTTCCGTTGAGTATAAATTTAAAAGCGAAGTGAATTGCTACCAAATGAGTGTAAGAAAGAAAATTTCGTTTGTGTTCTTCATAAAATATACTTAACTTTATAAGGGTATCTAAAATCAGTTTAAACAATGAATAAAACTTAAGTAATAACTTTTTCTCGAGTGGGGTTTTTACAGGTAGCCGAAAGGAACTGCCCTCAAAAGCCAACGTCCTGGCGTCTGAAATCTCATGGGGTTATGTTGCAAGTTGATTAGCATTATAATTCTACCTAACAAATCCTAATTGGAAACACACTAGAATTTCGGTTGACATTCCGTGAGATTACTCACTGACCTTACGGCTGACAGCGGTGCATACCCATGCGAACGTGCTAACTGGCCTTGATCTTGCTAGAGACGTTACCTCCCTCGGTCGTCGTGCTTTGCAAGATCACCAATTGAGCGGTTAACTGGGTTCTGTTCAGCGCTAACGATCAGCCTGTACTGACGCCTTGTTAATGTGTCCTTCATAGCACCCTTACTTGTGTGAAGCCCTTGTGCCTCCCCCTCTTCCTCTGAAGTTTGCTTCGTTGGAACCAGGTCCTCTGCGACACACATAGACGTCCTGTTTATCATTGTCACCCATTCCCCACGGGGACGCAATGCGTGTGAGAGGAAACAGGGAGATACGTGCAGCACAAGTCTACGTTGCTATAAAAATATGCACACGCAAGTCTCCACTGCATCCTATTCGGAACAGCTGTGGTCCTCATCACTCACGATGGCACTTTGAATATGAGATAAGCGTTCTCTGGGTTCCTCCTAACCGACAGCTCCTTTTTACTCCCCTAAGTTGGCGTTATTTTGTCGGTGGATTTCTCCGATGCGCACCCCTTTCTTTTAGGTCGCCTTCAAGGAAATGTATTTCATTGTTGATCGTATCAGCGAACACTTAAGTGACGCAAATTAATGACAGTGAAACGAAGCCCCTCCTCTGGTCTGCAGCAGAACTCACCAGGTGCACATACCGTCATTTCCAGCGCGACTTCCAAGCAGCGAGTTTCCAGATAAAACCGTATCGAATAGTCACGAAAGGATCCAGTAAAGACGGCGCCTTGTATTCTACACGTTCATTTGTAGGCGTGATCTTCAGGTGATCCTCCAGGAAGCAGCCCAATGGAGTGCTCATAGCTACATGATCAACCTGTCTGTATATTTCTCCATCAAAAAGCAACTGCACGCTGGTGCTGCACAGCTCTAATAGCTTATGCCAGTTCTAAACAGGTTTCAGATGTGTACGCATACTGACTTATCCATTGGCATGTAGTTGGACCAGCTTTGCACATCCAATTAAACAACACGCTTATTTCGCAGGCTTAGGCCCTACAGGCGGTCGACGAAACCATAGGCCTCTTTCGCCATGTTTGTTGTGGTAACGAATAATCAGCCTAATTTTATTGACTGGCCGCGCATGTACTGGAAAGCCTTCGTCATTGACGACATAGGTCATGGTGGCAAGCTAACCCTGTGGATTTTCGGCGACCCGTATGGCCTGGAAATATGCGTGCCTATAGGCCTTAGATATGAAGCCACTCATTCATCTGTTAACTTACCCTTCGAAAGGGATCTCGCCCTTTTTCAGATAATTTCTTCCGCCGTCTTTTCTTTCCTAACGGTGATTTCATGAGAATATTTGTCGAGATTATTCAGCACAGACTACATCTTACTCAAGAAATTTCCCTTAAGATCAACACCCTGTCTCTGCAGATCGTCTAGCACTGAAGAAGTGTAGCTTACTGAATTAAGAGCGCTGCGTATCGGGGATGTTTGACACTGATATTTTCCGTCAACCAATTTCGCTCTCAACCACCATTCCTTCTCCTTTGACTCTGGTGTTGAGACCGATGGGTTGTGGAACAATTATCAGAACTGGGCTCCTAGTTCTGTCGTGTCTTGTAAATATACTTTAGGACCTAGTGAGAAAGCCTCTGCATGTGGCGTACTCAGTCTCAAATCCGACACAATTGGGGTTTAGTTGTCCGAATCTGACTGACAGTATTTACACACTGCTAGCTTTTTTAGTGATTCGGGTAGTTTTGCATGGAATAACAATCTTATTTTACCGTGTGTTGTCCAAAATGTCGGACTTACGTAGTGTAACACGTCATGGGAATGTGCAATGTGCCTCCTGCCTTTGTGAAAGAACCACGCGGTCAAGCTTTTTATTTGTTGGCCGCAGTTCATCTCCTCGAAGAGGGTGTCTGCTCAATTCCGTATGCAGGGATGAAGAAATTCTGCTGCGGTCCTTCCTCTGTTGGTTCTGCACCCTAATTATGCGAGCTGCCCCAGTATCCTTATGACGTGGGCGAGGGTGCGCAATGAGGAGAAAACTCGAGCAATGGAAGCAGTTGTATCACTTGAACTATTTCGCACTGCTGTTATAGTGAGCCCATGATAAATATTGCCCTTCCCTTACCTCACTACCGCGTTTTGTCACACCCCAACTCAATGGTTGGGGCTTTCGACCTCTAACCAACAGGTCGCAAGTTCGAGCCTCGGGGTTGGGTATGGCCTGTCGATGACGGCTAACAAGCCAGAAGTGGTAATGTAGTTCTGCCCTCTGATATGTCTAAAGAACATCCAATGCTGCCTTCTCCTTAGTATGTTTGGCTTATTCGGGCCCGTTTCATATGACGCGCCCATTATTCAGCAGGTTAGCCGACTAGTGACGTCAGCCTGACCTCCCATGTTGTTTACCTCTTATTATTTCATTCTCCCCTCTGTTTTTATCGCATCTCACCCTTTTTTTCCAACTGTTCCCTTAACAACGCCTAATAATATGTACATCAACAAAACAAGTTTCAAGCTGAGTATGAGGTCTCGAAATTAAAGTGTCACTATCTACTTAACAACTTCGATATGTGGTCTTCATTGATGGCTGGCACGATTTTCCCCGGAAAGTCGACGTAAAATGGTGCATGAATATGTCTAGAGCCCTGTTTGTTCTTACCAGTATTAAAATTTGCCAGTTTGGACTCATGTGTTGTATGCAGTTAGAGGCTGGCGTTAGACGCATCCCTCGGGAATCTAAACCTGCGTAGCCGTACTCGCTAATCCGATTTGATTAAGACCACCATAATCAAGGTTGGGGACCATCGCACAGGACACCCGGACAAGGAAAAATGAGCTCGAAATACTCGTTTAGACCTTTTTCTTTTTCGGTAAATCCTAATCTAATTTCTAATGGACATACTTGTATCTGTTCCATGGTTTATTTTCTGCACCATCACAACCTTTATTTTAGATGAGGCGCTCAGCTTTAAATTTGACGTTTCAATGCCCTCTATGGATGAACTTTGTGTCGCATTTCCCCATCCGTGTGCTTTGGAACGCAAAGTTCAAGGTAAACTTTACTTTTAAAAGGATTTCCCGTTATTTTGGACGTCATATTTCACCAGATTTGTTAACTATTTTCCAGTTTAGCAGTTAATATGCTTGTTTCTATGGTGTTAAAACCGAGAACGGGTTGATTTGCTGCTTGTACTGCTGGCATACGTTGATTTTCAAAACTATCCCTCTGATACTTGCACACTTTAATGTTTTCTATGGCCATACCACATTTACATACTATGTCCATGACGTCGACACAGTGGTCATCCTGAGCTATTATGGATTTTCAATACGAAATCAGTTAACAGAATGTTAACTATCCCTAGACTACCCTACCCATCCACCTGTAAGAAGTATGAAGGCTTTTCCATTGTTACCAACCATTCAGACCGACCTCATTTCTAACTAACCGTTTCTCGCCGCAGTTCGAGTACTGGTAGCTACGATATTTATTGTTTAGATTGGTAGATGCCCTATTAAAACAACACAATCTCGTCAGCTGTTAACCTTCGAAACGGCGTTTTTTAATCACGTCAGGGGTTGATGCCGTGTTGGATTGCCGGATCCAACTTAAATTAACCTCATCCTCTCTTACCTCTCCGTGTGTCGGTGGCCTGTCTGAATCAAGCTCGGAGGAGATGAGTCTGAATGCAATGGATAATATAACTTGGACTTTCATTCGAACGCTTACAGCACACACGTATGGAACTACTTAACGGCGTGCGTACTCAGTCACAGCCCATTTAATGCACTCCATGAGCAAAGGTGGCCTCCATTTTGTTCTAACGCGACGGTGGCACACCCGCCGTATGGTTCGTTGTTTGTAGTTTTTGACAGACAGCCTCAAACCCAAGTTGTGGCCCATTTACTTACAATTTGCCGTGATTCCCAAATGTGGTTGCCAACCCTGGACCGCACAGGCCTAGTAGTTCACACGACCTTCCCGAACAGAGGCCAAATCTACCTTATCATTCATTACATAGACTCCTTTACCTTCATATTTGCATGAGGAAAGCACAAACATCACGGGTTAGCTAGACACCTACGAATTTTTTGATATTTTCTACTTTTCGGCCTTCACTTTAACTCCATCAGGGCAACCCATGCGCAAGCCTGTATCCCGTCATGTACATTCCATCTTTTGATTCCTGTCCCAACCCTTATTCCTCCTTCCCAATACTCGCCAGACGTATGCATGTCTATACACCCCACTATCACATTTGTGTGTCTCCACACTCCCTCCCCTTTGACATACCATTTGAAGGCCTCAGGCTTGTTTTGGACGACGGGTAAGGCCTTTCTGGTTGTCGAGCGACGTTTTTTGTATTGTAGTGCCGCAGCGGCAGAATATCGGCAAAACACACGTGTCTGGGCTTTTAGCGAGTACCTGTGCTGCTAGAGTGGTATCTTGTAACCCTAAAATGCTGGTGTTGTTTGTCGCCTTGTTTGTCGACCGACATGGCAGCTCGGTGCCCATCCACGCACAAAGACATTGCAACTGCATGATCCCCGACCCATCATTTGTCAGACCTGATTGTTTCAGAGCTAGTCTTCGCTGAGGGTCGTTCTACTTCCCGCCATCTTGGACCCACCGAGAGATCCCTGCTAGGCTACTGCACAAGTTCTGTTTTCCCGGACTTCCTGTCGTCCGGGCGAGGATGTACTCAATGAGCAAACGAAGCTCACGTCCAGCCCGCCTGGCCACAAACGCAATCATTCAATTGTCCCCAGAACTATACCCCAATGACTTACCAACGTTTTCCCCTCGCCCACTCATGTGAAATCCGTAGCTCGGCCCTAACTACCTCCAAATTGTCCAGCCATCGCATATTCAGGAGTTAGTGTGTTAACCACCTACCGTCTGTGGAATAATCTGTAGGCCACTCGATAGAAATGTCCAACTTATCGCCCTTTTCCTGTTTTTGCGCTGGCAAAACGATTTTCCAAGTTTAGGCTCGAGAAAAATTGCCTCACTCTAATGCATATGCAGTTGTTCTCCATCATATCCGCCTTTTATTCCTTTCCCCACCTCTGCACTTTTAGTTTACATTTGTTTTGGTAACCTCGGTGTCAAGTCGGCCCGCGTGAGCGGTTGCAATCTTGCTGAACAGTTGGAGGGGTCTACCGTAACTCCTCCCGATCCTACTCGTGTGTTAGCCCGCTCGCACAACCTTCCCGTGGCTTTAACCTGGCTTCTAATTCTACTGGGTTGCCCCGTAAATCGCAGTTTAAGCTGCCTTTTCCCTGCAACCACGTCCATAACTGGCTCTACCTGCACTTCGAGCACAGTTACTTCTACTGCAGCTCCGTCGGACGCCGAGCGTCATTTCAGAGCCAATTGTCTAGGCCGAGCGCGACGAGCACTGCAGTTCAGTGATGACTGTGATGCCGACGGTCTCCTCAGTGGTGCTGATCAAATCAGCCAGGAGAACTTACAGCACCTCGATCTTCTCACCCAGCCTCCGCCGCCTTCACCTACACAATTTGACGTCTTCGTTACTTCGGTTTCGTCTTCAGTCACGGCCTGTGTCTCATCCCTCTCGCTGCCTGGCGTAGATGCTTTCCGACCCGTCAGCTCTCCGACCGCCGCGGCAACAGCAGTACCAGTTGGCGGTAGTGCAGTTCTGCGCTCCAGTGCTTTCCTTGCATCAGCTCCACTGCCGCCTGGGGTGCTAGTGACTACTCCGCCTTCCTGTCTCCTCGATGGTGGGGGTGCTGTAAAACCTATGTCAATGGAGGAGACTGTTGCATCAACTCCGGGTTGCTTCCCTCCACCACCCTTGGTAGGGACAGGTAGTGGCGGTCTTGGTAGCCGTTCAGGTCTCACTTTCACAACGCCCCTGATACCCGGCACAGTATCGGCTAGTGCAGCCATGTTTGCCTCGCCTCCAGCCACAGCCTCCGCTTCTCCTTCGCCACTCAAGACGCCCTCATTCTCCACATCTGTCCCAACTCCTCAGTTAGGATCCAGGCAATCTTGCCCAACCACCACATCCTCTTCCGCTGCATCCAACGTTTCTGGTACGTTTAAATGGTCCTTATTTGTTTCTTATTGTGGTGGTGCCTCATCTATCACCCTTGGTCTTAGACCGTTGGCTGAAATCCATCTTGAACCACATCATACAATTTCTTCAATTCATAGCTATTCTTGATTGCTCTACATAATTTAAATGACCAAGTTTTAAAAAACTTGGTGATGTCGGCGGATTAGAGCTCGCGACAAAAAGCAGGGCTACCCAGCCACCAGCGTTCTTGCCATTTGAGCTAAGTGACGCCCACCAACAGCATTTCGGTTTTCTCGCGATTGAATCAGTTCAATTATTAAAATATGCTATAAAAAAACTGTTAAAAGATGAACCTGTTGGTTGATTCTATGTTCATTGCTTAAGAAGACCTGTTTAGGCAATTAGCCTACTATATTAGAATTAGTGCAGTACTTATCCTGCAATAACGCAAATTTTGAAAAGTCGAGGTTCTTAGTCGGATCTTCCTAACTCAATGATTAGAGCGCTATTGCACAACAGCCTTGCTTTTTCTGTTGGGGGTCTCAGTCCCACTAAGGTTCCCGGATTTTCTTCGCAATCCGGACAGTTAAATATCATAGTTCACCTTCAAATTGCTGTGTGCGCCGCAATGCGCTTTTAGTTCGAATTTACCGTATACGGTTTGACTTTGGTGATCTGGTGCGCTCGTCGCAGGTACTATCATTCTGTACCGGACATTTCATTTCAACCCTCGCACGCAACCATCTTCGCCGTGTGTCCCATAGCGTGGTGGGTGCATGACGGTGACATGCGTGGGAAATCGTTTAAAGTAATAGCAGACTTGCGCAGCATCTGCCGCACTCTCTTCTCCCCTGCACAACTAGGCCCAGTGACAATGCAGAGTCAGGGAGAGCGGAGGTGAGCTCGGCCACAGTGGCTGACAAAGTTAAACAGCCAGCTATGGATCATCAGTCCCAGTTTGATGAATTCGCGAGTGACCGACCAGACCAGTGCGTGAAGCGAAGGTTCGATCGCAATGAGGATAAGTTGGGGCCGGTTCCGAATTCCTCGTGCAGAGGTCGATTGTGGTAGCGACATTAATGGGTGACATGGCACCGGAAGGGCTCTCACCGATGGTAGGGGTGGTGGTCGACGTCGTCGGCGCTTCGGGCTTTGTAGTACTGATGGCGGATGTGGTGGTTTTGGGGGGACAAAGCATGACAGTCGTCGACGCCATGGGTATTGTGGTAGCGTGGGTAGGGGTGAAAGCGGTTTCTGAGAGGGAAGGAGAAGATAAAGCGTTAGTAGTGCAGGAGGTTCGAAGACATCCGACGAGGCCGATTCACGTGCGAAATTTTGAATTGTTGGTCTGCGAGATTTGTGACTTAAAAGTCATTCCTCTGGCTTTGGCATCGTCGATCCGGTTGGCTTTGTAGATTACTGCTCCAGTCGTCACTGCTGTTCTTCAGGCCGGTCGACCGTGGACAAGGTACTCAGGTCTCCGAGTTTATTTGTGGATCCTGAATGCAAATTTTCAGTGTCATTGTGACGTCATTTCTGTCCTCTCTGTCGACGAGCACCGGTGGCGATGTCACTATAGAATAGCCGCTTGGGCAGGCGTTCGTCGTTTATTCTTACGACATGGCCCGTCCATCATCGTTGGATTTACCTCAGCAGGACCTGGACGCTGAGAATTCCGGTTTTTTTAACATCTTCCTTGTCTGGTATTCCGTCATACCACCAACCTTCGTATTCCCCGGAGGCACCTGAGGTGAAAGCGCTTGAGTTTCTTCGCCTGGCTCTTGTGCATTGTCCAGGTTTCTACCCCTACGGCAGCGTTGTCAGAATGACGGCTCGTGTTGAGTTTTTGCAGGTCCGATCCCATGAGAACCCAGCACCCTCCCAGGCATCATGATCTGTGTCGGCACGGACATTGAAGCCACCAAGGATAATCAACCGGTCTGTCTTAGGCATAGTTGCTAGGAGGGCGTGCAGGTCTTCGTAGAACATGCTTTTCACATCTTCAGTGCAGGTCTTTGCGGGGAGGGGGGGGGGGCGAATGCGCGGACGATAATGACGAACTCGCCTAACCTTAAGGGCCGGGGAAAGTCATGAGGCGGCCGTTGATGTTGCCCAACAGACACGACAGTCATTTTACGATGTCGTTCCGGATGGCAAAGGCGACGCCACTGCCCTTGTGTGTCCGCTTCAGAAGAAGGTGTAGCCGACGCCCACCCCCAACTGACCCCATTCGGAGAACCTGGTCCTACTGAGAGCTGTAATGTCCACTTTGTGGCACGCCATTTCTCGAACTGTCGTCGCCGTCATCCTCCAGACAGCTGCTCAGCGGGTTGTTTAAAAGAAAACGAACATTCCAGGCGGGCAGCGTGAGGGGAGTCACTCGAGCAGCCTGTGAGATGGGACGGAGGAAATGGGTGCGGGAGGTTTGGTTTTGTGCCGTGTTTCGCTTTCTTGCCATGGCCAACTTGCAGACGGCCTGATTATCCAGCATTTGTTTAGCACACCTTTTCTAGCCTCTTCCACGCGAGAGCGTTACCCCTAAAGTTGACTTTTAAGTCATCCCAGACAGCTACTAAATTAAACTTTGGGTCATGACATTTGTTTAGTGGGAAGCCGACCTGAGTTGGCCGGAACCGCCAACGTGATCGCTATTGCTCACTCCGTAAGACTTTTCCAGTTTTGAGGAGGATGGGAAAGGGAACAGAACCATCGGACTTGTGACCTTCACAAAACACACACGCCCACTAACCAGATACTCCCATCGGGCCTGGCCAGTCGGTCAAGGTAGTACCGGGGTTTGACTGCTAGGCGGAGCCTAGCTTTGGGGATCCATTTATGAGAGTTGGGTGTCAGCTAAGCGCTGTGTGGAGCAACCGCCGATTGCAGATTGTACTCACTAACCAGACACTTCTGTACCCCGTACCATGCAATGCAGTGCCCAGACAATGAGATAATTGGTCTGGAGAAAGTTGGTCAAGTTTTCTTTATTGAGAATACACACATGAGTGTGAGTTTCCGCATTAACGACGTTTTCCGACCTTTTATTCGGCTGGAAAAAATCGATGTTGGCCCTAGATAAGCCGCAGACCAAGGACATCTCCCAGACAGCGAATTCAGGCTTTGAAAATTCGTAGGACCACTGATATGATCCTTCAGGTCGTGCGACTGCAGAAAAAAATGCTAGAAAATGCTGATTAGCGGTCACACCGTCTTCTGGAACCTCACCAAGCCTTCCGGTTACTTGAACTGACACAACCTCTGGAAAGCAATTAGGAAAATTGGATGATCCAGTCCGTCGAAGTGATGGTCAGACGGCTTCATACTGACATGATTTGACTCGTGACGACCGTGGATCGACATGCTTTCACGGGGACAAATTTGGTAAATTGGGACTATGTCTTCATCGTAAGACTCTTCAGCTTCATGTTTTCCGCAGTGCGGATGGCCGCCTACCTAGAGGATCGACGAGCCACTGATACAAACTGCCGAATCACAGTAAACTGTTCGATAGCCGCTGTCACCAGACCGTCACAAAAATCTCCGCGATCAGGATGCATGACCTCTGTCAAGGACTGCGCACTGACCAGCACAAGTGATGCGGACACGCAACTAAGTCAGAACCCTTCCTCTTCCGTATGTGGTAATTTTGTGCTATCAATACACAGCAGTCAGTTGTAACGCAACATCTGACACCACCTGTCATTCCTATCAAATCCACGCTACATGCCAGTGGTAGTCGGCTAGCTGCGGCAAACCAATCCATTTATCTGGTTAGTACTATCTTATCAACCACAAAAATAGTCGAGGTTGCAGTCGAGATTTCTACTGTCAGCAGGCCCTTGGCAGACTTCAAAACTCATTCGTATACAACCCACCAAAGCCAAGCAAGGTAATTAAATCGTTTCCACCAAAGCTGTCCTCGTGGAGTTTAAACATGAAATGACAGGAATTCCGCACACCGAGGTTCTGGAGTCGAACGACATGTTGAGCATTTACGTCATATTGAAGTACCCTCAATCACGGTGGGGCGGCCACATCGAAGGCTAACTAACGAACGCATGCCGAAAGGTTTGTCAGTAATGTAAGTGTTAACACTTATTGTATGTACACGCTTGACCGCCGTGCACTTATCTGTCTTCTTTTACTTTTAGCAGCGGGCTCAATGCTGGTTAGCCTACTTGATGAGGACATCCCATCTCAGACTGTTCACCTGCCAACCCTCAGTGCTGCAACACTTCAGCCGTCACGCGTCATCTCGAGCATGTTACCACAAACACAACTACCCCAACAGCAGACATCTGTCCACAAACCCTCTGGTTCAGATGTCCTCAATCACCTTCTTACGTCTGGCCAGTCGGAGAAGGATTCTGCACTGTTACGGAGCAAGAACAAGGCGACCGTGATGTCCACAGTATCTTCTCCCTCTTCTAAGGCCAACTTATCTGGTATTAGCTCTCGTGGTGTACCCTCGGCCATAGGATCCATTGCCAGCGGAATCGGTAGTGCCTATAGTGGACAGACATTTACAACGACAACTGCTAAACGACAGCGGAAGCGTCGTGAGGCTTCTCCTGTGGCAGCGGTGGAACCCATTCAGTTTATTTCCGTTCTGCCTACAAGATCCTCTGTTGCAGAAGCCACATTTGCTGGCAAACAGTCGCGGTTTTCGGTCGAGACGACCTCTGCAAGTTTATCCACACCGACTACTGAGGGTGGAAAAGTGATGACAAATGCGACAGCGACGTCTGTCGCCAGCGCTGTTGCTTCCTCTGAGAAGCATAAGTCTGGGCGTCCGTCTTCTGGAAGCAGTGGCGGTGGTGGTGGTGGTGTCAGTCAACCACTGCGTCACACTCCTTCCTCCTCGTCATCTTTGTCCTATGCTGGAACGACCAGTTCCCTTGTATCTAAATCTGTCTACGATTTTGAGGTAGGTTCTACAATGCTCATGGGTTTTAATAAGCTACTACATTCACACAGATAAAAGAGAATTTTATACGCTTATAGAGGGTCTTTGCATATATAACCACAACGAGCTTTCGTCATTTCGCCACCAAAAAGGGAACTCTTGTTCCTTCTAACACTTGCAGGCACGAATGAGTCCTTGTGTCCCCTGTAAGATTTTGAATCTGCAGATCGTCCACCATCCCAGAAGAAGGGGTTTTGCCTCATAATGTAGATGCATTTTCCTGATGATGTAAACTATTTTTTTAATTAATCACCTGAAAATTGGAAAAACTATCAAACCATCCGGTATAATTCGTTGTCCGGCTTGTCTCCCTTCTTCACCTCGGCAACACTTTTTTCAAAACCATTGGTGCTATTAATTTTCCGCTGAAATGCATAATAAACTGCTTCCACCTCGTAGTTATTTTGTAGGAAGCTAAACGTTAGCGCAATTGCTGGAGTTGCAAAACCCACACATAGTCGTACCACACGTGGTAGTCCCCACACACCCAACTCAATGGGTTTCGCCAAATCTGCCTCTGAAGAAAGCTGCCATAAAAAGCACCTTAGGCAGAAGCCACTGCAGTCTGCTCCTCCGTGCAGAATTATCATGCAAGTTAGCAACCTTCCAAACCACAACTGTTAATGAGTCCGTTCCATTCAAATGAGGACAGTGAGCGCAGACCTGGCCCTACTTTCTCGGCCGGTGGCAGTTCCGAGAAAAGCTGAAGGATGAAGTGACTGGTGCGGCGAAATCCTCTCCTTGGCACACGCTTGACTTTTTGGATGTTTAAGTAGAAATAATTTCCCATAAGAGATATATTTTCCCTACTTATGTCTCCTGGCAATGTTCGTCATACGACGTTCGCCATGATCGACTGAAGTCTTACCACCTGATAAGCTTTAGTGATTCTTTCGTCGGTGGACTAATTCTGAGTCGGTGAACCACTAATTAGGCAGTTCGCGACCAAAATAGTTGATATCCATTGCAAAGATTTTGCCCGCTTCACATTCGAAGGCGTTGTCCGATCGTCTCACTTTATCGGCCATCCTCACCCACGGTAACTTTCCCGGTTCTTCGATTTGTTAGCTTTTCTCTGGGATACAGTAAAACAACTGACGTTTTATTCCATGTTGGCAGACCATTCCACTTCGGGCACCAGCATCCACGGCTACCGCATCCTTTACTTGCAGCCATTTCCAGTGGCTCATTGTCTCCGATGGTGTTTTCGAGTGTGAACTGATAATTTCAGGCATATAACGTCGATTTCCAATCTAGTCTTCTGCCTCAACAAACATGAATTCTTTTAGTTTGCGTCGTAATATTGAACTCAAGAGTATCCTCAGTCATACCACGTTTCTCACAAAGTTCGCAAGCATGCTGACCTCTTTCTAATGTGCACTTCTCGCTCTCTACTAATCCTCGTTCCTATTACCGTAGGACGTACCTATGGCGGTTTCCTCTACAACATCTCTATCAAAGCAACCTTCCTCTTCGTCTTCAAGCGTCGGGGCCATTTCAAGTAACATGGGAGCTTCTGTTCCGACGACAAATAACGGAAACGCAGCCGCAAATTATGCTTCGATAGCGGCAACCACGGTTGCAACCACAAAATCTGAGCTGCGGATTACAATTCGGCCGAATTGGACCGCTGCTAGCAGTACTAGCGTCGGAGGCAGTGGGCCGAACAGTGGCATCCCTAATACGTCAACAACCTCCGCAAAGCCACGTGTGGTTGTGGATGGCAAGCCGTCCTCCTTTTTGAAACAGATGTTGCACTCCTCGCCTGCGACTAGTTCTAGTGATACACCGGTAGACAGGACTCCCCTGTCCTCCTTTATGGCGGGTGTTGCGAAGCCAAAGAAGGAACGCAAGCGCCGAGCCTCCTCAAAGTCCAGCAAGTCGCTTCCACTGCTCAGCGCTGCTGTCGTCTCCAGCACCAGTGAAATCTCCCCTTCACCGAATCGCAAGGTCTGGATGGGTGCTACCTCGACGGTTTCAACGGCAGCTATGACGGGGACAGCAACCGTTTCATCTAAGCCTTCGCATGGTCTCACTGCTAGTTTGAGTGGGCCCTTAACGACGGCATTTTCGTCAAACAAAGCAGCTACAGTCAAAAATCGCAAGAAAGTTTCTTCGATGTCGTCTTACTCATCCTCGGTCATCTTTTCAGCGTCAGAGCCCGCTCTAGCTACTGCCACGTCCGTCGCGACGCTGAAACCAACTTCAACCTCTGGCGGCCCGACGAAGATGAAACTGTCTAGTGATGATGCCACTCGATCCCTAGAGATGGTAGAACCCACAATCAGTGCCACCTCAAAAGGCAACGGTCTCATGAAGGGCTACAAAATTCCTAAAAAGAAGGCTTCTTCCCCGGTTCAACCAAATCCTCAAGCCAGTGCCCCCACTACTACACAGCAGCCCACCAGAATGAGTCCTTCCATATCGTCGGAGCTGGACAGTGTGGAGGCTATTCACCAGTCTTCACCGAGCGCGCCACCACTACGAGACCAAACCCCGGCGTCTGAGACTGACACAGACATCTTACAGCCGAAGCCGGCCCCCCTGTTGTCGGTGGCAGAAACTGCGTCCACGTCAGCAGATAGTGCCTGGACGGCCATGTCGGAGATTCCAACTCAACAGCAACGTCTGCCATTTCCACAGTCCTCTGGCTCACAGGCGCAAGTCTCACGAAAGTTGCCAAAAAATCTGACGGATATTGTAGAGCAGCTGCGAGCAAAGTCGACGCGCGAGCACACACACCCTGGCGGCTGCAGTGGTAATGGATCCATTCCAGGCAGTGAGGAAGGTAGTGGCTGGCAGCAGTCAGAAATTTCGGCTTCGGCGTCGCTAGAGATGGCTGGAGTGCGAGAGGGTGAGGTGGAAGAGGAGAAGGAGGCGGAAGAAGATGAAGGAGAAAAGGATAAGAATAAAAAAAGAACGACAGATGTAGCAACAGATGAAACAGGAAAACAGTCTCGGCCTGGGTTTACCACCTCGCCTCCTCCAGGCAGCGAAGATACACCGAATGCCTCGGGATCGGACAACATTTTTGAAAAGCTGGGAAGGCAAGTATCGTCCTGGATTGCTGTCTTTCTCCGTCCTAGCAGTCTCCCATGTGTCTTTTCTGTAATCTTTCAGTTCCTCTGCAACTACAGCAAAAGTTGCGACCAATGCCACTGCACACCGTCAGCAGGCATCTTCTGGCGCAGGGAGAGTCTCCGTTAGCGAAGATCAGTCGTCGAACGTTGCTGAGGGATCTCGCTCGAGAAGCGGCTCTCTATCCCAGGACCTTGCATTTGACGCAACAGTTGCTTCCACCGAGACTTCCGGAGAAACCGGGGCGAAGGTAAGTCCAGAGTGTATTTTCGTTCATTTCCATTGAACTGTAAGTCTACGGCACGCGACCTTCGCATGCCTGTCCCGCATTCATGCAGTAGTCCACTATCGCTGTTCGTCAACCATATGGTGGTAAGACTGGGCGCGGTGACTGACGTGGCCTGTATGCCCCTGTCTTATGCGTAACACGCGCGTGTACGGCCGTAGGTAAGGTCACACAGTCCACTTGGGAGACGAATACATCCGGCAGTTCGACCGTAACGGAAAACGATGTCTACCGCTGCCCTACGAGATGGGCCCATGAGTGACTTGCACGTGAATTCGTTTGTCGTGAAGCATGCACATGCAGTGCATCTAGACCACTCTCTTCTACACTCGTCATACTCTGATGGCGAGACAAAGTTAGCACGACAGGAGGTTGCCTTGGTCGTCGTGACTGATGCAGCTAAACAGTCCGTCTACGCGTGTTACACGTGGTCCGATCTTCACTCCAAACGTTCGTCACTGGTGTTTGATGTTGGTTTCCGGTTGGCTGTATGAAAGCCATTTGTCGGCCCCACTAAGTCGTTTTAAAGAATGGCCTAATTTCTTGGCATTTGTGTTGCAGTTAACGACCGGTGAAGCAGTCGTAGATTTTGCTTGCAATGTTGAGAAGAAAGATAGCCCTGGGGTTATCTCAGAGTTAACGGTCTTCCTTGCGTTTGCATAAGAAGACGGTGGTGACGCCGTTAGGGTCCTGGGGGATTTTCGCCTGTCTTCGTGCCTCCTACGACATTGTCACGAGCTTCTTCGTGCGCTGAGAACCGCCGAATTTGTATATTTCAGGTGGAATTAAGTCGGTCTCTGGCGTTTTGTTGTTAGACATCTTTTGTACGACCTTTCATAATTTCTTGCAGGGAGGGCGGACGGTCGAGTTCGACATTGATTTCCATTTCAGTGTGTCATTCTGTCAGTGTATGTTGAATATTGTGAATGACCAGTCGGGGACGTCTCTGAGGGACTCTGCACAGCGATACGACATTTGCAAATGTCCCCTCAGAAGTTTTTTTTCGTCAGAGCTGGACAACGGTGAGGCTCGATGGGTTCGAATAAATGCTTCACATCGTTGCTCTTTGCATGCTCTTAGATTTCTTCAGTCTTGCGTGTCGTGTGAGCATTTCCCGCCTCTCTTCTTCTCTGCTGCACTAGGCTTCGACATCGAGAGAGTTTGACTTTGTTTGCGTCGTAGGTCGTGTTTAAGCTGTTCCTCTTGGATAGCAGCTGTCCGATGTCTTCGTCGGCATCATCGAACCAGTCCTGCTGCTCTCGATGTGCACGACCGATGACTTCCAGATCTGTGGCCTGAATGGCATCTCTAAGCTCTTTCTGTTGGATCTCCACGAAAGCACTTTCAACTAGTAGTTGTATTTGCTCCAGATTGAGGTTAAGACCACTGCTCACATTCAAGGGGCGCACAACCGTATCTAGTAATGCGTATTCAACTTACCTGGTGGTGATGTCTGAGGGGTTCGAATTGCACTTTCATCTCCGAGATGACAAGACGGTGATCTGTCTGACCATCTGCACCACACAACGGCCCGGTCACTAGCTTCTCACGCCGGTCGCGTTTCTTGACGAGGACGTAGTCCAGCATTTGCCAGTGTCGCAAACAAGGATGCATCCATTTTGTCTGCCTCCGGTTCGGAAGATGGAGGCATGTGCTAGTGACGAGAAAATTGGGTTATGTGCAGGTCTGCCAGAAATCGTTTATTCCTTTCGGGAGGCTCGGCATCCGTCCAACGACGTCCTACTTAATGGCGAAAGCGACTCCGGCGGTTCGTCGCCCCGCTTTCAGATGTCCTCTTCAGAAGATGTATTCGAACCCACTCCCTCCATCTGTCGTTCAGAGAAGTGGCTCTCGCTGGTATCTGCGATGTCCCTGTTGTGGCGAACCGGTTCTCCGACGACCAGAACTGTCCTCTTTTGTCACTTGGCCATTGGGTTGTTTAAAATCGCATGGACATTCTTTGTTACCAGAGCGAGCAGTACGACTTTGGCAGAGTGTGAGACGGTATGGGGATGGGGACGGGAAGTGGTTATTGTTCCGTATATTGTGTCAATTTCATTTTTTTTTCGTGCACAAGCCATGGACAGTTTGCAGACGTCGTGTTTTGTCAGCATTTGCAGGGCACATTCTCTACCCTCCGTCGAGGCGGTGGTAGGCAGTGTCTCCCTGAATACAACCACCTAATCATCCCGGGCGACTGCGAAATTCCATAATGGTTCACAATTTCGGTGTAGTGGGAAGACAACTCGAATTAGCCTGGGCCGTCTACGGGATTGCATCTAGGCGTCTGCTAGGAGTTTTCATGTGGTAGTTGGAATGGCAGGCCAGGAGTTTGGTAGAGGAATACTCTATTGGAAACAGGCCCACCGGATACATTCATCTAGTTTAACCCGCCGATCGAAGCGGCTAGCGGGCTGTGGTCTCTAAACAAGGCACAGCTTCGTTATGCCACATCCGAGAGCTGTGTGTCAGTTTAGAGTCGTACGGAGTACCAACCGCGTGTACCAAGTTGTTGAAACGACACGTCTCCTCTACACAGGTAGCCCTCCCTCGTAACTGCATAGACAATTGCATATTCCTTTTTTTACTTTCTCTCCAAATTTTTGCTTCTCGAATTCTTTTAGTTGGTAAAGGCGTTCACTGACACTCCCGACTCGCCAACTGAGGATGTCCCCTCGAAAGTATGTGTCGGCACGTCAAGCAAGATCATCCCCGTCTCCCCCACGTCGGCTTCGCGCAGAACCCCAACAGTCGCCAGCTCTTGCAGTAGTGGCGGCGGCACCGGCAGCGGCAGCGGCAGCAACAATTTGCCCGCCGTTCATGCCTTCCACGAAAAGACAATCCGCCCACAACCACCGCCACCACCACCGCCTATCAACCTGCCAGCTCGTGGCAGCGCCAACCCTGGAGGCGGGTAAGTCCCGTCACTTGCTAACTATTCGATATACAAAATAACTCAGACCGACAGTAAATGTGTATTTCCTCAGGCATTTTGTTGGCCTTGGCGGTCGTGCGAGAGAATGCAAATGGGTGGTAAGCAGTCGGACAGAGTTAGTAGGATATACTGTGGCGGTTTTTGCCAGTGACTTAAAATAACTTGATTTTAAGAACTACTGTTTTTATGTTTACGGCTTATGTGAGGGCGAGGTCGTACTCTTCCTCCCCCCTTTAGTCCGGCCTAGAGACTGTACATACTTGCGTTTTTTAGTCCTTTGATCATGGCCCACTTAAAGGTGTTTGCAATCCTGCATTCAGCTGCTTGTGCAATGCTCACTGACTCGAAAGAACCGACTGCTTGTATCCTGAAAAGGACGACACGATTGTGCATTGATCTTGTTTTTATCCACTCCCCACATCGTCACGCGCATCTTGGATCTTGAATGCGAAATCAATTTAAGAGTGACAGGGCACTTTTGTCATGAAAATTAGGCAACGTTGACAGTCACACTGCTAAGAAGCATCAAACTCCGTTTTTTCTACTTATTAGCTCACCGTGCCTTTTCTTGAGACCTGAAGCTTGTGTGGGATTTTTCAAGGAACAGAGGAATCAGTATGTTATTCGTTAAGCACCGTAAACGATAATTTAGACCCTTACGAAGAAAATGTTGAACTGTTTCATCTCATTACTTCAGCTGGGAACTGCTCCTTATAGCAAGACGAGCTTAAAGTAACCTGGAATGCTGCTAGTGGTGATTTATTGTAGGCTTTATTGACAAAAAACAAATACGGACATTTCAGATTTGCTCACCGCACGCTAACTATCAGGCCTTACGGGTAACCAACGTCACTCGAACCCCTTATGAGCCAATGGTGGATGAATGAGTCGATACCTATCAATGATATTTGAAAGACCTTAGTTAAAAATCCGTATCAAACGAGTTATTGCTGATGGTATATTACTCTTGGGTGATCGACTTCTTAAAATCTAGGCTGTTTACAAAAAAATAAATAAAATCGGCGGTAACGATGTTGCGCACGTCGTCTGGTTCGCGCTTGGTGTCCGCCAACTGACGTTGGACGTCCTGAGCTGTCTTATGGGCGAGTGTAATTACGGTGGCAGAGTTACAGACGGCAACGATCGGCACCCACTGGTCTCCCTTCTGGATATCTTCTACAGCAAAAAGCTAGTGAACGAAGAAAATTACAACTGCCCCATGGCCATGCCTCCGGTTATCAAGAGGGATAATTGGAGTCACAATAGTAACTCGCAGAGTTTTTCTGCCATGTAGTGAAAATGTAAATCGAGCATAATCATCTTCCGTGGAATAACTACACAAGAATCATTCTGAAGGAAAGTAGTACTGTGAACAAGATACTTTATGACAAAGTCCCGAAACCTTAAGGTTTGTGAGCGTCTGCTGTGCAGTCTGGTATGTGCTGACAGTTCTCTGGCACCTGGTTCCCTTCCTGCGTGTGCCCTCCCGATGGTCATACAGATCGTGTGCACGGTTGCCCGGTGACTTGTGTCATCCTTCTCTTTGACCCGTTTTTGTTGTTGGTCAAGTGTTTGTTAGGGACCATGTGGGGTGTGGTGGTACTCCTAGATGCGGGTCCGGCCGTGTCGGCCACCTGCGCCCTCTTTCTCCTCCGGTCTTTTTGAATATATCTTGACACCGGGCCCAGGTGGGGAGGAGAGAGCGCGGTAGATGCTGCGTAAGTCTACCCACACTATAAACTTATTTACGTGTAAGTCACCATGCCTGCTTCACATTGCTGTAGAGCACACGGTGGGCATCGTCTGTTCGGACGGTCACAATGTCACTTAGTGTTTCGAGTCATGCACACACCAGTTTAAATTTTGCATTTCTAAAGGCGGTTTCTGGTACGGTACTGACCGCATTGTCTATAGTTTTTAAGTATTTTATCTATTCCTAAGATGATGTATACTCTATTCATTCTTTGTAATTTCAATCATCTGTGCCGCTTTTTGTTTTCAGTCCTCGTTTTGGCCCGGGCTATCAGAGGGGATCGTGGACGAACCGCCATTTTAATTCCGTATGTCCCTGCTCACCCACTCTGTTCGATACCTGCTCTTTTTGCCTCCCTGCAGCGACCCCTAAAAGATTATTTGAGTTTGCTTCCGTTTTAAAAGTGTAACTGTCTATGCAGAATTGATCGCCACTGTGCCTATCCCTGTCTTCTCCGGTTGACCTTTCAGAACAGACCGCCCAGCGCGAGCTTTCCCGGACACGCCTGGGGCGGCCCACGCAGGCTCCCGGGCTATCGTGGCCCCGACCCCGGACCCGGAGCTCCGGTGGGTCTGGGCACTACAGGTAATTGGGGCATGCATCCGCAAGGAGGCATGTTTCGGGGTCACTTTCCAGGCCCTGGTGGCCCACCTGCACCCAGCTTCGTAGGTGGCCCGTCATCCCTTGGTCCAATGAACCGGACGCCAACGAAGAAATGATCTATCATCTGATTCTTTTCCTGTTTCGCCTTCTCTTTTTTTACTACTGTCTCCGTTTCGGAAATTTGTCATTTACCATCGTCATGCCCGTCTGTATAGTAACTTTTTATCTATCCACCATTCCTTTTGTGAATAACACCTTTCGCTTTGATCCCAGCTGTGCCTTTTTAAAAAATTATTTTGAGAAACAGGGTACTAGGTGGGATAGGACGGTCGTTATAACTGATTTTATGAAGAAACCTAATCAGCCGGACTTGAGATTTAAACTGTTTCTTTGAATCTGAGGGAGTATAGTCTGTTGGCCTTCCAGCCACAAAACCTTCGACCTGCTGCATTTTATTCTTAATAGTTGTTAGTAGCGATGATAACTGTTCTGCAACACTCCGAGTGTACAGTATGACCTCACGACCGCCCTCAAACGGCCACCCCTCGTTGTGTAATGCAAATATCGAACAAGCAAAACACGTGGTATTTAAATCAATGCATACGATTAAAAAGCACCAAGGTTCAATGCCCGAGTTAGCCTATTGAAGGTTGATATACACGGACCTCTCTCTAGGAATTGTGCGGACGTGGAAGTCAAGCCTGCGTGGCATGGAACACGCTCACTCTCAAGGTATTAGTGGAGTTAGAAGTGGATGAATGTAAAAAGCGAAAAGTTTGAATAAAAAACAATAAACGGTAGTGGTAAGTTGATGCGGTCTACTTAATTGGACAAGTTCGGCCCAACCCTCCAATTGCAAGCTGCCTTAGTTGAAGTTGGGTCGGAGACTGAGTGCGACTGAGGACTCGGAAACTGTCCGAGTTAATGTAATCGCCGCTAATTATCAAGCACTTACTAGTGGATAGATGTCATTTTCTGCCTACATCCTTTGTGTTGAACCGGTATACTTTCGTTCACAAGTGTATATTAACCTCTAAACACTCGGAACCTACGTAGTTGTAGCGTCCGACACTTCCCATCTTGATTTATACGGCCAGGTTCTATGAGGCGAGCAGCACTGCGGGTGACATCAGAGGACACATCAGGAGCCGACTTCGTATTAGCGTCGCCATACTTTTGAATAAAGCTGACAGGGCAGATGTTCCTTTAATGCACTTTTGAAAGGTTGGATTTTATCCAGAGAAAATTGTTTCAGACGGGACCTAGGCAATATTTTCTCTCATGCGGGCGCTAAGATCAGCGGGTTCACACAGCGTAGGAGCCCCATTGTCATCCTCTTCTCTGTGCATTCGAAGAAGGCGGCCCCTTGCCCTCTTATCCAACTGTTAATCTAGCCGTCTTACACAATTTATTTGTCATGGCATTGGACAGATTTACTCCATTTTGACTCTGACAGTCAGTCGCACGTAGTTCACGCCGCTGATATTACAGCGAACCGGGAACTAAGTGTCATGACCCGTCCTGGTATTCTGCAATAATGCAGACTGTATGCACGCTTGTCTGTTGTCCGAAACCACCAACACGGCAGAGCGAAACACGATGGGCCACAACAAAATGTATGGTCATCTGCAAGTCGTTCTCGCGTAAAAGCTGAGTGCATTTGTAACGTCCCGTATTGGTTCGTTGGAATTCCGCCCAATTCGTCCCAGAAAGAGAAGAACGACCGAGCGACTTCCCGCTGGCACGGACCATCGGGCTACAAGAGCGCACTGTTTTTGCAGCCAATGGCGAGACGCTATTGATGATGTGCTTGCTAGGTAACACCCTATGAACTGTGTTGTGTCGTCTGAGCGAAGTGAACACTCTCGGCTTCGATGTGGGATAGTGTTGGTGTAACGGCTTATCAGCGAGAGTAGCCAGTGCACTTCCCTTTTTGCTGCCGACCATCATACCGCAACCCGTCCTAACTTTTCTCCCACTACGTCGACTCCTACAGCCCTCGCCTGCAGTTGTCTAAAACTCTTCGTTCCCACCGGGTGTTTATCAGGCGTGTCAGCGTCACTTCACCATCCTCTGTTGTAACTCATCCTCTCTGCACGTTCGACCATTACCATACATACTCCATTTCCTCCTGTCTCCATTATACATTTATGGCCACCAAATTCTCCCACCCTTTCTCCTGGATGACTGCAGTGAAGTGTTTAACAACTTTTTCCAGCTCGGTCCTAGCTAAGATTTATTCTCAATGCTTCACTTATTCCGTGTGTGTGCTACCCTCGACGTCATCGACCACTAAATCGGTATGCTGACAATCATAGGCAAGGCGTACGCATGTGCTTTTAAGAGAGATCGAATGACTTTTCTGGGGTGTGTGAGCATTCCCAGCAGTATGATAACTTTATGTGTACTGAGATACGTGAAGCAGAAACGGCCGGTAAAAGTAGTACCTTCTCTTGTTAGGGTAGTTAGGCCCTAGTCTCCAAAAGCTGAATGTGTACGTGGCGTACACATTTGCTCGACGCGCCTTCACGGGAGTTTCTTGAGACCTTTATGCGAAATCTCGTATAGATCCAGTGTTCAGTTATTGTAGTCACTATCTTTCTCTCCAAACTATCTTTTCAAATAGGTATTGAATGCGCCACAGGATCAAATCGGTAAGCCCCCTGCTATGTGAGAGAAAAACCCTGCCTTCCTCGTGGGATTTGACTGAATCTCCAAAACATACTTCACATTCTCTCCGGTGTCATGATTTTTATGTCTTAATCAGGTTACTCGTGGAGCGGATTTGCCCATACATTTCAGAAGGCAAATGTAATGATATTTCAGAAATGAACACTCTTTAGTGGAACAGCACGAGTGTCCATCAATGCCGGTACCGAAGTTGAGGCGTCCAGTGCAGCACGTAATGCAACAAGTCATGTGCGCAGCTGAGTGAAGATGCTCACCAAAATCTGTGCAACTCATCGACTGACATGGACGCTATAAGCCAAACAGCCGGCTCGTCGAGAGCTAGCCAGCCAAGTGAAGTGTCAGAAGCAGTGACTCTGACTAAAAAAACTCAAAACGATGCCGTGTGTCCACCACGAGGCCCACAGTTTGACAAAAATGAGAATATAGCCGTAAAGCGGTCTCGAAGTTTATGCTGCAATCTACGATCAAGAAAAAGGACAGGATGCAGCCAGCGGTTTTGTCCATGATGGATCACTTTGTAGTTGTCCAGGCAGTCCTTGTGGGTCCTGTCGAAACCCTGAAGGACAGGATCAAGCATGATCTGACATTCGACAGTTTACTGCGTAACACCTATGAACCCGGTGAGGTATGCGAAATTTGAAAGACTTTCCGTTAGGGACATTTAATTAGAAATAATGCAAAATAGGTGTGGCTGAGGCCGTTGAAAGTCGTATCGGAAAACAAGAGGTAGATATTACTTTGCGCCGAAAACTCAGACTACGAAAAAACAATCGCGGAGTGGCGTCTTATCCGTATTCCTTTTCTATCGATCAGATGAAAAGGAGGGCACATTTGACCGAACTAGGAAAGAGTCAGAGCGAAGACAAAATAAGCTTAAGAATAGAAGACAGTCAAATCATAAAAACCGGAGGCTTTTTTCTATAGAATCGTCCGGTGAAAGTTGCGGTACATACACCTGCGTTTATTTCCATCAAACATCAAAAGATTCGAAATCTTACAGCAGTATTTGCCAGTCGCAATAAATGTCAAACAATTTCCGGAGATCGAATGCACATCATTGTAAACAAATCTGTTAAACAAATTGGATAAATCGAAGTGATCGTGGTTCATTTCCAGACCGACCTTCTAACTTTCAGTGAAGCATGGCTAAATGTGCAGATAGAAGACGCAGAATTCTTGTTAGACGGCTTCCGGTTTATTCTCGCGGACCGAAGTGCACTAAGGTGTGAGTGGATTGCGGTGTTCATAGATGATATCATTTGATGCTTCACTCATGTGCCTTCCCCAAGAAGGGACGTCGATTGTGAAATTCCAACTGAATGCTTGAAAATAACAAATCGACCGTGCCGCTATATTATCCTGCTTTACAAACCCCCGGACAGTTGAAGAGGGCAGACTATGCAATCGTCATCGCGTTAAAGAAAATTTTTCGTTTCAAACATGTAATGCTACTTGGAGACTTACACCATCCAGACGTATAGTAAGAATTGATGCAATGCGCACAAGTAAAAGACCTTCCCAACATGTTTAAAAGGACACGCAAGCCCGCGATGAGCAGTAGTCAAGTTTTCTGGAACTTATCATTACTATGGACGATAATTGCATTTCCCGCTTTGGTTCTCACACGTCCCATGGCCAAAGAGACCAGTGCATCCTTGTTTGGGAGCGCAGTCATTTTTCGGTACTCGAAATTAGCGCAATTTAGGAAAGAAATATAGGCGAAGGGATTATTTCCGAATGAAAAAGCGGTAGGACTGACTCATAGGGCCTTCAAAACGGGAAATGGTAATAGGAAACGCCTGCAATACGGGTGGCGTTAAGCCTAAGTTCAGTCAAATTAGGGCTCTGATTAGGTTGAGGACTAGGTTTAAGGCTAGATTTAAGGTTAACGGATCAAGTTTGGGGCAAAAGTAGGAGCTAGTGTCAATCGCGGGGTTAAAGTTAAGGTCAAGATTAGAGCAACAGTTTGGCGTTATCCTAGAGTTATTGCTGGAGTTAGGACACGGGAATGCTTTTCCCTCCCAGGAATTATGTGTAGGTCTATCTCTGTTATTTGGGGGGAGGGGACGTACCAGTTGCCATGTCCTATTTAAGGGGCCACATAAGTCAGTCCTACCGAAAAATCTACTGATGGAGATAAACGGGGATGTCGTACAAGAGAGGATCAAGCGCTTCCCCTCTCGAACGGGTGATGTCGGATATAAGGTAGAACCCTAGAATAATAAGGAGACTCTGCAAAAAGTACGCCAAATGTCAACAACCAGAGCATTCACCGATCTTAAAAACGACGAAATATATGTCGAAATCGTCTAGGACGAGGGGGAGGGGGAAGCAACAACACTGGAGTCAAAATGGTCGAAGGAATACTGAGAAATCCCAAAACTTCTTCGGTTATGTGAATGGGGCAATACGCAACTGGAACTTTATCCTTGTCTAAAAGATTGCCGGGAAGTGTGTTGTCTAATAACTTCGACTAGGCGAACTTCTTATCCGATTTCTTCACGTCCGTGCATTCTCCTGTGTATCCAAAATTCGAACAGTTGAGGAAAAAATGTGTGGGAAAGGAACTGCTCCGAAATGAATGAGATTAATTGAAATTCAGCACAAATGCCTGGCCCAAATGTCGCCTGGCTCTCCTTCAAGAACCTAAACCAGTACTTGGTAGGCGGCTTTCTCGTCTTGAGTCGTTGCCGTCGGAAAAAAGGATGAATCTCAAGACGAAAAGATTACGAGGGAAATAATTTATCCAAAAAGACGAACCCCTTATCCGATTTCTTTATGTCAGCGTATACCGAGGAGCCGCCTTCTGACGAGACATTATACCCTCAGTTACCACACCTGACGAATAAATTAACACGCTGGCCCTCACGCATTCCCACTATGAAAAGCTCTGGGGCAGCCAAAGGCCAATAAATCGCCTAATTCGGGTGGCTTATCCGCAAAAGGTCTGCATGAACTCGCATACCAACTGGCCTCCCCGCTCTACAAGATCACTGAATCTTCAATGGAGAGTGGGGCTCTGTCTGCTTACTGGAAGCAAACAAACACAATCCCTATAAATAATGAGGTAAGAGAACATCGCCAAATTGCTTTAGACCACTAGGTTTCACAAGCATCTGTTTCAAACTGATAGCCAAAGTGGTAAAAACAACTTGCTATGTGGGCCTCAGCACTGGTTTAGAAGGAGTCGATCGTGCCCAACTAGCATACTCATATCCATGTACGGCTGGACTAAATGTGCTGAAGTGGATTTATTAACAGATACCTTCTGCATGCACATCAGAAATCGTTTACAGTATTTCACACACATAAGTTATATTTAAATTATGTACGTCGAATGGGAGTGCCAGAGAATCTACTGAAATGACTAGTTACATTACTCACAGGCGGATTTCAGCGTAGTCACATTGGTGAGGCCAAATCGGAGGGGGCAATCGTTTACGGTGGCGTCCGCGGGAAGTCTTCTGAGTCTCATTTCCGTCTTTAGCAAATAGGAACAACTGCCTCTATTACCTGAACTAAGATAGATTCATGTAACCTGATGGTCTCAGACCGTAAAATTTACAGCCGAAGGGTGACCGCGTGAGTCGCTATTTAATGTTCTCAGCATTAACCAGGTCACTCTCTAGTAAGTGGTCACTGACAACGCGTCCGCACTCCGTCGTTTCCTTCTGACATTACTGCTGATCTGGCTTTCAGTAGGTGATTTGGTGTTTTCGCGAAATCAACGTGTAGCAAAAAGGCCACGGTGGTGCGGTTTCCTTCTACAGCTAATTTTCTACATTTGTCTACGGATTTAGTTTTGGACTTAGGGATGATGGAGGGCGGGGTTAGTGTAAGTTATTACCGTTTCCGCAATAACTGTGGGCCTACACTCCGCATCGAGTGTTGGGTAGGGATTGGATTATAGTCTTAGGTCTAGAGTTCGCTTCAGGATTTAAGTTAGTGTTAAGGCCTAAAAAGTACGGTTATCGTTAGAGTTTAAAGGTTATTTTTAAGGTTAAAGTTAGATTTAGGTCTAGTGTTGGGGTTAGGTTAGGGTTTATGATTGGGGCTAGATTTGGGGTAAGGGTTAGTTTTTGGATTGGGGTAAAGTTAAGGATTAGAGCTAGGGTTGAGATCCGGACTGGGGTTAGACTTGGGGTTTAAAAATCAGGTTTAGGTAAAGGGTCAGGGCTTTAGGACTAAATTTTGTATCAAGTCATACTTAAAGGATAAGCTTGTGGCTAGTTTACTCGCTAGTTTGCCCGGCCTAGTTTGAAATTTGGGTTGACCGTTGAGGTTTTTTATTTCGGTTTGTCGTTCTCGTCTGTAATGTATGTTGGTCACCTAACTTGCTTTCTAAAGTCCGCTTAGCGTCTTATTACTTAAGATTAGTTAACTCTCAAATCGAATAAGTTGGACATCTTGCCTGGTTATAGGCGCTACGTTCGCTTGTCTGGTTGCTGCCTTGACAGTACAGCACTACTTTATGTCTGTATTTATGTAGCATTCCATTTACACCGCTTGCATCTCTTTTTTTACCCCACCACGTTTCTGTTTCTACTTAAGTTTTACTTCCTACGACTGCGCCCCGCCCATCCGATATCCACAATGCTTTCTACGAACGCATTCGCGTTACCTTTTGTTATAAATGCTGCCGTTGTTGTGGTCACGATCGCAAGTCTACCGCTGAAATGTTTAGGCCTACAGGCACGTAATTTTGCCAGATGCTTCGCGCTGAATAATGTGCCCGTCCACAGTTTCCGATGCGGTAGATTGTGGCCACTTTTAATTAGGTTACGCAGACCGCTTTTCCTTACGCTCACTGCATGACTTGCTTTGTTGATATCGATCTTATCTTTCAATTGCTAACCACCAATCTTCATTGTTAGTTTATGATTTACGCGCACCTTCTAAAGCACACAGCCGTGCGGTTGTGGTCGCCTCGGTATCATTCCCCCCATCCCCCACCCATCCCCCAATCCGCCGCACTTACGAAAAGTGCTCGTCCGCTTATCATACCAGTCTCAGCAGACATTCTACCGTTGTTTGAGTTCCAGTGCTTGGATATTAGCACTACGCTTAGCACGATACCTCGTCAAGAAGCGTTGTGATAGTCTTTGCTTACCGACGGAATGTCCCCCTTGTCGCTCAAGCGCGTTCATATCGGCTAATATTTTGCAGTTTCCGACATTTTTGGTCTCCCCATAACGACTCGCATATGTGATTACACAGCTCGCACGATCTGAAAGTGTGTTTCGGCTCCGCCGCTTTCCATCAGCTCAACCAGAACCCCTCGGTGTGCCTTAATAACTCTTCTCCATTTCCACGTGAGTGCATTACCTCCACCTTCCGATCGACAAGCAATGGGGTGCTCACCGGCGGTCGTGCACTGACCGGTTCGTTATATTTGGATCTTGTGGGAGAATAATCACTTTACCCGATACGCACACGTCGCTGCTTGTTTTAGTTTCTCTGCAGGGCCTCCTGACCTCAGTATTCACTGGTTTTGGCCGCTTAATCAACTACACCAACGACTCTTACACATCCGCCTCTCATCCCCTAACCGTTTAAAACAGCTTCTGTATGCATGCTGTTCCACGTTTATCGACCTTCGCTCGCCTTCTACTTATGTTATCTGTCTTAACTTCGCTTGCGTGACGTCTGCGGGCATGCGGCGGCATCCCGCAACTTGTGCTTGAAAGAATTAGCTTCCCTAGATGTTGCACTTACGGTTTACTGTTTACGTAGTTTCCGCCATTCGCGAATTGCACTATCTGATAGGGTTTGGCTTACTTTCTGTCCGCCGGCGTTCTACGTGCGCCATCAGCAGGAACGATCAGAGCAGTACCGTTCGAGTCCACCGCCGCATACCGCATCTTCATCGTCGTGTGTTGTACCCTTCTCCTTTCGCGGGTCAACGCATGCTGCCTTCGGAAGTTGTCCAGCCCCTGTTGCTTGTGATGTACACGTCATCGTCCATGATATCCCCTACGCTGCCTTCTCTCCAAGCTTCTCCGCAGCTCCGGAACCTTCCTTGAGTAAATAACAGAAGAAATTTCGGGGATTTAATAACCCTGCTACTAGACAAAACAAAACTTGGGACATTTAGCGGATTATCGGAAAGCGGCACAGAAATATTTCCTTCATACGCCGATGTCCAGTACAAACAAGAATACATACCCCATTCGGTCCGCAATCATCCAGTCTGAGTTTGTTATAGACGGCTCCGTTTCATTTGTCTTCCAGGATGGTCAGTCGGTTGATTGGTTTTGCTTCCGCATATGGCCTCGTACATTGCGAAGGCTTCCACCATTTCAGTTTATTTCAGTTTATTTGGTAAGGATAATAGGCAATGCCTTTGAAAACCCTATTGATTACATGTCAGCTCGTTAGAAATAACTGCACACAAACAAACAATGTTCACTATTAAAACAGTACTTGGTTCATTTGAGTAGCATTGTCTCAGAGAAAATATTTGTCTGGACCAGGGGCATTAATTCAGATTCAGGCTGTCGAGGGAAAACAGGGGACACAAATTATCATCCAAGCGTTTCTTGAAGAGTTGCAGGGATGTAGCTTCCACGACTGACTGAGGGAGATCGTTCCATTTCTCCACTACCCTCTGCGTGAAAAATTCAGAACGAAGATTCAGCCTGGACATTGTTGCCCGTAACTTCATCGAGTGACCACGAAGATTGGGTGAAAGGTGCCAATGAAGCATGTCCTCAAATTTAAGTCCATACTCGAGGCCATGTATTATCTTGTAGACGAGGATAAGATCACCTCTTTGTTGCGTGTAACACAGAGGGAATAAATTAAGGCAATTCAGTGGGGCCGAACAAATGTGCCGTAAACTCTCCGAAAAAGGTCTTGGTCAAAGTTAACAAAAGCCCTTTTTATTGCATGCAGCACTCCCATGGCGTTTTTTGCAGCCTTGTGGCACTGCAGAGTTGGTTTCAGGTTGTTCTGTATCCATACCCCGAGATCCTTCTGTGAAGATTCGGCGGGGAGCCTTATATCTTGCAGGTGATATGTCCTCAGGCTCTTATTCGAATGAGAGTTGGCTGGACGCAGATGAAGGACGGCACACTTCTGCACATTGAAGTCTAGAAGCCATTTCTCCGACCACGCTTGCAGTCGGTGCAGATTATCTTGAAGGGATCTGTGATCATTCGGACCCTTGATGACTTGCCAGAGCTTAACGTCGTCTGCAAACATTATTTTGCAGCAGTCGAGTTCCTGAAGGCTGTCGTTAACGTACAGGATGAAGAGAAATGGTCCCAGAACTGAGCCTTGCGGCACACCACTGGTCACATTCACCCATTCTGACATATCATCCCCGACCCAGACACGTTGTTTCCGACCAACCAGAATCGTCTTAATCCAGTTCAGAAGATCTCCCCGGATGCCGATGGCGCTCAATTTGTGAAGAAGGCGTTGGTGCGGAACAGTATCGACAGCTTTGCGGAAATCAATGTACACAAAATCGACCTCAAAACCCTCTTCTAGAGCCCTCGTCCAGATCTCCAGACAAGCTAGCACATTTGAGAGGCAGGAGCGTCCTCTCCGGAAGCCATGTTTAAAATCCTGCAAGATGTTATTTGTCACACTAAGGCTTCCCGTAACTCCAGCATGTTGTCACTTTTCAGTATAAACCACAGTCGATACTGCACTTCTTCGAGATGTGTTCAAGCGATCCTTCCAGACGGTGGGCCTGTTTCGTGTAATACAAGCTTCAGCCTACTTCAGGAGGTCTCTGTCGCATTTGTGTGCTTGACCGTTATTTAGTTGACAAATGTTGCACTGTCGTTTACAGTACAGCGCTGGCGGCCTTCAGAGAATAGGCAGATGTGCGTGTGCTGCTCGTCGGCTACAGTTATGCTACCCTCAGCTACCCATTTCTTAATCACGGCTTTAAATGCAGGCCAGCTTCGGTTGTTAACTTGGTCGGAGAAAGTTTTACTCCTCTTCGTAATTTACATCCCTACAATCCAGTACTGCCTCCTGCTACTTTCTGCATTTTACTTCCGTCGGCTAATTAGCGTTGCAAAAATTTGGATCTCTGCACCAGGACCTCCAATTTTCTTCATTGCTCTCAAATGTGCTTCTGAGCTGGCATTAAAGCATACACAGTGCCACTCCATAGCGGTGTTCTGGTTAACCCCAAAATAAGCCACACACAGCCTAATACGAGCCTCATCGACGAACTGGTAGCAGGTCCTCATTATCTTCGACAGCGTCAGCTCGTTTCCTGTAAATAAAAATCCGGTTCAAAGGAACTTCTGTCTTCTGCAGAGACCGCATCTAAACTCAAGATGTTCGGCGTTTCGCTGGGGCCTGCCGCGTCATGTTGTGACGGCACAGACACTTAAACTTCCAAGTCAGCAAATTCCACCCCTTCCCGCGTTCGCTTTTTGGCTTGCGGTCCCCTTCTCCGATAGCTTGCACTGCCTCGCGCCCTGCGGTTACGCAAAAAATAAATATAATCTTCCAGGTAAAATGATCATCTGCCAACCAAATACCGGCTCGTAGACCTTGCTATATTTAGAAATCCGTTACCCTCGTTAAAATCTTGTCTCCATTGTCTTTCTTTTTCGCACACTTCAAATAATTACAGCAACCAATCGCAAACCATCTCCTACTTGGCTCGGTCATGTTTGTTCAAGAATATACTTAGTACAGACCGTCACTCAGGGAAAGTATTTACTCTTGAAATGAGGTCATATTTGTAGACAAGCCTCCAAAGTGGATCCAAGTGGTCACAAGTGGGAAGAACTTCCCAAGAGTACACACCAAATAGACGGCGACTTTCATGAACTGTCGATACCTGATGGTTTGGATAATGATAGGGTTTAGCGAACGATTAGTCTGAAGTTCATCAACAGAGGCCATCAGTAGGCATGTGTTCATCGATATCCTAAAGGATGCATTCGGTTACAGTGGCACTGACCGACTTCAAATGGACACTGTAATGTTGCAGAATAAACCTTGTTCTGACCGCCCAAAGGAGGTATGATTCTAATTTAGCCGAGAGCTTACGTCGACCAGTGACTTTTGCTCTCATCTTGTCTCGAGGCGAGTTGTGATTAAGAAAACTTCTGGCAGAAAAGTTGACTGAATTTCAGCTAGGGGCTAACGATGTAAAAATAAATTACAAGAGTTAGAGAGAAATCGGATGCACAAAATGAGATTTGCAGAGTGCGATTAGTGAACAACAGGCACAGAGTAGCAGAACTCAAAGGGATATGGCAGGTAGTTCTGAGAGAAGAGGCCCGTATTTAAGGAAATTCAACCAGAAAAACAAGGGCTAAAATCGTAAGGTCTCACAGAAAATCCACTTAAAATAATATTCTCCAATTATCTTCAAATTTAAAACCAGCGGCTCGACCCCATTGGAATGCTTGGGGAGTTAGAACAGGGATAGGCTTGTTCGTAATCAAATTATGGACGAACAGGTAGGAGGAGAAAGAGGATGAGGAGGAGGAGGAGGAGGAGGAGGAGGAGCCTAGAAGTAAAGTAGAGGCTGGTGGGAAGAAGTCGGGCAGCTATAAGAATAAAAGGGTGGGAAACCAGGTTTAGGTTGAGAGTCAAATGACTGAGGTTGATTTACCTGAGAGCAGTTTGCCTCAAATGGTGGAAAACCTGAAATAGATTGTGGGATAAACGACTAAGGGCAAATTACGTGTGAATTACTTACTGGATATATGGTAAGGCTTTGGTAGGCAACCGGTACACAGGACAGAGAATTATTTGGTTATATAATTGGAGCTGTGGAGGTTGTAGACGTGCTGGATTGTAAAGGCTTGGTAAAGCTAAGAGAAGGCGGCGTACCCCTAAATGGAACTGTACTACCTATCTTTTGGGTCAGAGTCTGATTCATTTTTCGAGTCTCACCGTTCTGACGCCAAGCCACGGGTGACTTAACTGTAGACCTTACAGCACCCAGTTGGACAAGAGAAGTTATCGGTCTAGCTGATGTAGACGGATTTTCATGTGTCCCAGCGGGGCTATCCGGAGGATACGAATCGACAAATGGGGCTGCTAATGCTAATTTAGGAGCAGGCGTATGCGCCTTGTGGCCTGAGTGAGAGGGAGGTGTAGGAGAAAGGGGAATGATGGAGTCAGATGTCGCAGAAGTAGGACCAGCTGAATCCTCATGGTCACTTGCATTATGACCGAGTTGGTGAGCATTAGACTAAGAAGCAGAGGGTTTATGTGAAAGGAGACACCCGATTCTTCGCCCCATGGGAGAAAGATCATGAGAAAGGAAAAATTTTGCATCTTACAGGTGCGCAAAGACGCGATCTGTATGGGCAACTATTGTGTCAACCTCGATTAATGAAAACAACTTTACAAAGACGGGCGGATATTTGCTACGGGCAGACGAAATTTTTGCGTCGGTTATTTTGTAGTTGAAACCACAAGAATACAGGAAATTCGTCGCAACATCAACTGGCCGAGCACATCGAGGGCCATTTTTCAACAAAAAGTTGTAAGCACGCCTTTGTCTATTATTAGATTCTCTGGCGATCAGGTGAACAAGTGAGTCAAGGGGTCTGCATTCTTGAGAGTGAATATCGGAGATGCTCCCGTCGAATAATTTTCCAAGAATTGAGAGCAGAGTAATAAACTTTGCTACAAGATCATTATAGTTGAAAAATGCAGGAAGATTAAGCTGCCTATCAGCCACAACAAAAAAGAAAGCCTTCTCAACCTGACAGCATGGCATCTTTATTTCTGTCAGTAGACTCCCTCGTGGATGTGTGCTTACCAGTGGGCCTCCAAAACAGCGCGTATTCAGAAACTCAAGACCGTCCAATTGAGAGTTCTCAGACACCCGATTTTAAAGAACCCTCTTTAACCTGCATAACTGAATATTATCTCAATAAATAGACGTTTTCAATGCATTCTTGTGACTGATAAGTATTCAACCAAGAGTCATCGCAAGCAGTCCCACATCGTCTAATTCAGGATAAATGAGGGATCGAGACAGGGCTCTGGAAAACCCTATTTACAGATAGACGTTTGAAAAAAACATGCAGATAATTGCATAGCAGTTATGGCAGTCATTGATATCGTGTAAATGTCTGACCATTAAGCATAAATTTATGTGGTCTTCTTTTAGAGGCCTCAACGTTTTCCGCTAAGACAACGAAGTTCGGTTATTTGTCCCATAATTCAACCAGCCGGTGGGAGAAGAATTTGGCCCGCAATTCGAATTGGGCATATTTTAACTTCAATTTGTACCGGTGCACTCGAAGATTGGTCGTCCGCGCCAGGTCGAAGAAATCGTCAAACTGCAGAACACAGTCTAGTATTCTGACGATCCTAAATGCCGTGATCAAATCCCCTCTGCATTGTCTACAACAGGGAGGAAATATTTTTTTGCTTTTCCAGGGGTCTGTCATAAGGTTAGCTACTTAATCCGCCGACTAGCTTGGTCGCTATTCGTTGTACGTTCTCCAGTAGGGTGTAGTCTTGTTTCGCCTAGGGACAACAGACCTGGACGCAATATTCCGACACTGGCCGAACAAATGTTCCGGATACTCGGCTAAAAAGTTCTTCGTCAAAATTCAGGAAGGATCTTATAATCGCACCTAGGATACCCATAGCTTTCTTTGATGCCTTGGCGCAGTGAGACGATGGTTTGAGAGTTGACGTATTCCACAAACCGAGGTCTCTTAAAGTAAGTGCAGAAAATGGGCAGCTGATAATGTCAAGGGAAATCGGGAGAACAACTTCTGACGTATAAAAACTTCTAAGCATATTAGTATTGCTTCACTGAGGAACAGAACCAGAGATCCTTAATTGTCAGGGTGGGAGGCAAGCGGCACTGCTGGTTTTTGTAATATACTATTTAGAAAACAAGCCTTTTGCGTGTGTTCATGGATTAAGAGTGACCAGTCTCTTGATTGAAGGCCCGACTAACTTCTACGACTTTGTAGTCAACATAGCGGAGTTTATACCGCCGTTAATCTGTCAACTTGTTCACCGTAATTTCATATGTTTGCGGCCTTTTTTCACCCAGGTGCAGAAGCCATCCCCGTTTTTCGTCTCCTGGCCATTTAGCCCGATCCAACCTGCAATCGGTGGGAAAAGCTGCGCTTAGTTCCTCGCGATCACAATCATGAGTCATCTCCAGACATGTTAAGCAGTCTGACCACGAAGCGCGTGCGTAGGTGCGTTCAGGATTTAAAGTACTCATTTGTTCACTTTCCCGTACGTTAACTTAACGTTCGCGATCGAGCTGGATCATCCTGACCAGACGTAAGGATGACGCATAATCATATGCGCAAACTAAGCTCAGCTCCCCCTCTGCGCCGGCAGGTTGTATAGAGACAGGTTGCTGCGAAACACTCTGAGTAGCTTATGAACACGTACACAGGGAGGCTGTTATGTTGACTTCTTAGCTCCAGAGGCTAGTAAGGCCATTTGTCGAGGGATTGTGCACGCTTAGCTCACAAACATCACCGCAGGAATCAGCAATGTTGTTGTTCGGACTGATAACTTCAAGATGGTGGTTATTTTTCAATTATTTAACCTTCTGATTAATAATATCATGATAAATTTTGGCGTTCATTTTTAACGGCCGAATTTGGAGGAGGTTAATGGACATTTGTTTTGCCTGTACTTTTGTATGGTGCCTGGGACGAAACGTCCGAGTCCAAATCGTCCTCCCCTTCCTGAATATCATTTGTTTCGGTATCAGGGCAACCACCATCAAATATAACACTCCAGTCGCACGATATAACAAGCCAGACGATATAACACGTGGTTATTCAAGCCTGTCCGCTAGGAATTTTATTTTTTCCCGGTACAGTTTTAATAGGCTTATCATTGTAATTTTTCATGGTTTCTCGGCTGTATTGGCCTCGCTTTGGGTTGCTGCTTCCCCGGAAGTTTGCCGATTAGCTAGTCGCAGGTGTGTCCTCCCGTCCTAGGTCTTCAACCCTTAATAAATGTAGTATGCGCAAGGGGAACAAAATTTCTGCCCCCCTTTGCATTTTTTGGAAGGTTACTTTTACAGCCAGCAGGCCCTCTATCTTGATTGGAAGTTCACGAAAGATCCGGAAATTGTTCTTTCGAGCAGTCTTCTTGTATTGTAAAGAGTTTACTGAGAAGAATTCACATCATGATTTTAAGCACTATGATTCCCAAAGAAATTTTTCATCACAGTCTTCGTGTTTTACGTATTCGAGAAACGTAATTAAAGTTGCTAAACCGTAATCCACAAATAGAAGATGAGAACAGTCATCAGCAAAACCGTTAGGCGTGGTCGCTGGTTTCCTCTGCGAGTCAAAACCATCTGCAAGCTCGGCCATTAGCAACGAACCACTTGATCAGCGTCTAGGCCAAGAGTGTTGCGTGCTGGCCGAAATTTTTAAATCATGACATCATTGTGTAGTAAGTACTCTCTCTTCCTATCAACAACCAGACATTTAAAGTCGTCCTTCTGACTCCAGCCTTTCCCAATTCCGATAAGTAACATTTTAAATCTCGAAAGTCCCAGTCCTAGGCTTTGTCGTTATTGCTCTAATCGTCTTTAAAAAGGTATTTTACTTTATGGGATTCCACTGACTCGCATCCAACAACACCTTTTATGTTCATATTTTGTTGCCCGTAGGGTGCACAAAACATGCTGTCTTGATCCTTCCATTTCACACTTCTGGTCTTCCCTTTATATTTTATGCAGCCCCCATGCACAGCGAGCTCCTATTACCATTTTTTACAACAGTCTTGTGATACCCACTTTTTAAACAGGAACCTTCATCCAGTGCAGCCTCGCAACTGAAGATCTCTTTGTATTATGTCATACTCAGGTGCCATCTTCCGTATGTATAAGGGTATCATGAGAACTCTGTCATTCCTTAGCCACGGTTGGTTTTAGTGGGCAATTTTTCATTCGAAGTTAGTGAGAGTGCCCTGTATAGGAGCAGAGTTTCTCTTCCCATTGTTACACTATTATTGTCATTATGCCAAAGGTCTTTAATTTCCAATCTGCCGGATCTTCCTGAGTACTTATATTATAGAATCAAACCTTCGATTCTTGACAGTGCTTTTGATTTTGGTGAACACCATATACGTAGCACTTGGTGCTTTTTATGTATGAATATTCTACAATCGATGTCGTGGAGGAATTGGAAAAGAGCGATCGCAGGCTGTTTTTCATATTAAAAGACGCTACATGGATGAAACTTTCCACTGAACTCATTGGACGCTTTTTTACACTCGCTCACAAGACATCACACCGTGCAGTTCAGTTCCCCTAGAATTTCAGGGTGGGGAATTTCTTGTTGTCCGCACTTACATGAATTATCCGCATTTGTCCCGCAGAAATCTTCAAACTGTACACCCCCGATATTTGTTATATTCCGCCTTCAAGTGTCTTACTCACAAACCACTAAATTATAACTTTATAAAAGTACAAACAGCTCCTGTTCTGTAGACCCACGATGAAGGTTAAATGGTTCATCCGGCATGCTGTGAATATTTTGGCTCCTTAGGTGGGTTTAGTAGTTTCAGCCTTATTTCTAGGCGTTCTTTGGTAGTCATGAATTATCACTTCTTTTAACGATTAATTAGCGAAACGTCTTAGGTTTAAAAGTCTTTCACCATTATTCAGAGATGAAAAAATCCACGAGATAGATTGACTAATTGGACAATATTTCGAAAGGCGTGGTCAGAACTAGTGAGTTTTTTCAGTTTGTTAATCTCAGAATGTTGCGCTCTACCGTGGAGCAAATCGTTCTCGATGAAATTTTATAAACACAGTCCTAAAATTAGTATGAATATTTGAGCCGAAATCCATCAGCTCCAGCGGTATAACCGTTTAATATCCATAAACTGCCAGCGGGCAGTCAGCAGTACACACGTGCTGCATGATTTATCATTCTGCCAACACAGTGGCAGACTGTCATTCAGCGGAAGAATATCGTCGAAACACGTGCCTCCGCTTTCAGTTAGTATTTGTGCTGTCAGTATAGTGATTCATGCAAATAGTCTTGTTCCACTGCGAGGAAGTGTTTAGAATGGGCCATAAAGGAACAAGAAGAACCATGTTCTTCAAAATATCTCTAAATTCCGGATTTATCCGAACTTTTTATTTTCGTATCATGCTACTAGGAGTCTCAAACTCCCTCGGTTCTAGTCATTACCATTGCCTGGCCAATTTCACATGACTTTTTTCTTTTTTGTTTCTCCCATATAATTCGTTCCGTAGGCGTTGGTCACCTTTATAAGTGGTCAGCAGAATCATTTAGTGCTAACTTCGTGGTTTTACTGATATCTTTAATATGATCTGGAGCTCATTATCCGGAACGAACTGCTCTAGGCGATTAGTCTGCTTATCATTCCGAGGCTAGTAGAGGCTGAAGAGATGAGAAGTTAAACTTTTTAACTGAGCGCCATCTTCCTGGTTGTCAGTAACAACAAGGCTCTTCGCAGCCAGATTGTTCTACCTAACACCGATCGCGATCTCATACGAAAGGTACTTCCATCTCTATCTTTTGAATCCGCTAAGCTTAAGCCCATAATTACATGGATTGTTTAGGAATAACGTCAATGAATTATAAATAGCGGTTCCGAGCCCCAAACTTATTTTCTCGCATTATTTAGCTTGGTATTTCGAGAATAAAGATCCCATTGACGAACCTTCGTGATTGCCACACATTCCTTCTAACTAGTTGCTTAATCGAGCTGTTTATCTTTCATATACTGTTCCTTCCGATTCCTCCACAGTTTTCAGCTGCGCCGTTTTAACCCTATGGTTCTGAGTGGACTGCAAAGATGTAATTTGTGTTGACGATCAAAACTGGTCTTGAAATTGGTTTGCTTCAAACTATGTTCTTTGGTTGGTGGTGAAGCCCAGTCGTGCGAGATCGTCGGCATATTATCTACAAGCAGTGGGCGGTCGTACGAATATGTAGTTGACATGCAAACTTCCCGACACTATTATATTTGTGCTGGTATAGGATCCTTCTTATACTTTTTCTTTTTATATCGCATACTTTTGCCGTCATTCACTTCAACTGAGACATACGAACACGAAACGGATATCTCACTCGACTCCGTCTTCATGACTCGTGTTTGTGTAGGTGCTGCGATGACCGCCTCTTAGAAGGATCTTGTACCAATTCGCACACGTCCTATCTAAACGAGTGAAGTCTCTTTTATGTCAATTGGGAGACCAGCATGTTCATGGCACGCGAGAACTACGATAAGTGCCTGGTCAGCCACGTAGCCCTACGTTTAATCCAGATTTATTGACTCCACCTTCCTACTGGAATATGAAGAAAAGGAGACGAAAGAGGGAACGGGAAGATAATAAGGCCAAGCTGTGGAAATCTTTACACGTCAAACCAGGGCAGTTGCAATGCGTTACTATCCTCCAGGTAGGGGTGATAGTCGTCTAGGCGCTTTCTTCGTTGAATCCAAAACTAAGTGGGCGGTGAAGCTTGTTGATGACTCAAGATATCTTCACGACTTCTTAATTAGCGCATAGTGCCACACTTGGAATAAAGTCTGTGCATCTCACTCGGATGATGCATTTCATCCAACAATAAGCGAAAATCTGCATTTTTTTCTCCTACTCACTCAAGCACTTCAGCAATCACGCCCTTGCACCATAACTAAACGTTTTTTTCTTTTTGTATGAATACACTCAATGGTGCTGCTCCATAAGTCCGTTCAGTGACTAGGCAAATGCATTGATCAAAGTTTTTTTGAAAGAAGAAGTCCTCAATATACTATTTGGCGGTGTACTTTTTCCGCCGTACCTTAAAAAATAGCAACGGATACAAGAAATGTTTTGCACCGTATGAGAGTTTAGGCGTGGCACGCATTCTTTGTAACTGATTCCGCCACCGTTTATCTCAAGGATTACGCACTCTATTTTGGCAGCACGAGACTCAGCGTAGAGAGTTAGCTGGCATCCAGACGCAGGTTCGGCGCGGTAAATTATTTGCCGAATCTATTGAGGCCGACAAGAATGTTTAAATGTGTTTTCGTATGGAAAAACATAACTTAAGTGCTGTCTCAAAACCGATTATCAAGTCAATTTTTGAAATGCTTCCTGTGCACTTAGAGTAAGTATGTTCCTAACCACCTATATAAGGTAATCTCAAGAATGTCTTAGTCAAGTAGCACTTGCCATTCCCAGTACATTTTGGTTCCTGTAGACACGCAGGAGGCATGCACAAAACTGCATTCTTGATGTTCGTTTTGTAGTAGTTTATGTTCTATAACTTTGTGATTTTAAATGGCGGCCATTCGCTTCTGCCGTCCTCTCGTTTCGAACTGCATGGCGAGCTGTACTCTCAACTTTCAAGTTCTTGATTCAGCCAGGATGTCGCATCTTTATGCCATGGCCCGAGTTAAACATCCAGACGTGTATGGAGTAGAATATATTCATACCGAAGGCATCATAGGCTGACCGTTACGAAGAACGACGTTGATTCCTTGCCCATGAGGTGGACGCAGAGGTGACATTGTTCATAATTATGCAGACGCGCTAACACCACCCCCTCCACCTCTCCCACAAACATCACGTTCTGGTGTCAAAATAACGTCAAGGTAGCGGGGAGTCGACGCGAACGCAGTACCTAATAGGACCAAACAGCCCGCCTACGCGTGTCACACGCCCGACTAAAATTGGGGACCTCTCATTTCACATCAGTCCGTCAGACCATCACTCATGGTAAGGATCTAGTTACTCCGTCAGTTAGTAGCCTTCCAAGTCAACTTCTAGTGCGTCGGGTTTATTATAGTGCTGAATGTGCTGACTTGTGTGTATGCACTCCTTTTCTGTGTCTGTCCCACTTCTATGCATCAAAACTTGTCTGAGTCATGTCTCCTGTTGATGAGATCGAATGCAGTGGTCGATAAAGCCAAGCACACCATCTCCGCGTGCCTCACGCAACCTGATTCAAACTACAAAAGTACCGAACTACACTAAAGGACACGCTTCTAACTAAATTGGGATCTACACATTCGCACGTGCTACGCTTCACTCGTTATACTGGCGTTGACAAACTTTATTCCATGCGTGTTGTGTGGTACGCCATTGATACTTATCGTGCATAGGCTTTCCAGCCGAATAGGATCATGTGTAGCCTAATTGAATTTGTTAGTGCACATAGCGCAAAGTGTCATGGATGTCTGAACTGCGCTGTTTTACTGAAGATCCTCGTCTATATTTCGAAAATCAAATCCGAATTACATAACAGCAATTAAGCAGCAAATACTTCTTTAACATCGCATAGGATTGCTGCAAAGTGGTCATCATCTCCTTTCAAAACAAGACAGCAGTGTTTACTCAGGTGCCCTTAAAGTAAGTGCCGTGTTACCCAATCTTGCTGTCTAGTCTAGTCCGCTCGATTTGCTTCGTGCGCGCACCTATATTCAGATCAACGGGATTTTCCTGGTGATTGACGGTTTTGTGATCGTACCCAGGCTGTTTAAGTTACTAATCAGTTGGCCATTCGTCAGAATATGTTGTTGAACCTGCTTCCACTTCGCGTCCACTGATAGGGATTAACATCACTGCCTCTCACTTTTATATATGCCAAAGACCCATAGATCATAAATTCGCGAGCCGTGATTCCGATAATCATGCACTAGGTCGTCATCATTTTCTTCGGCAGGTGTATTTCCACCCAAGAGACGGCAATGATTGTACTTACGGTGTCCTGTAAATCTGACCTCTTCGGTGTTCTGGTGTTCCATTCAGCTACTATTTCGGAGCAGACATCCCGGGAGTAATTGGACCAGTCAACCACGGTATTTGGGGATCTGCCAGTAAGCTTTGGCACTTCTTCCAGTAGTTTTCTGTTGCCCCTGAGATAAACTAGCTCTTAAATTTTGCAGGACTTCAAATTGCTGCGGAGTCTTCCGTTCAAATCACAAAAGAAGGACAACTCGTTTCCCGTTCTTATTGATCGAACAGACTGGCAGCCCTTTCTTTTGCACCTCCATGCAGGCATATTCTGCCCACGGACCTTAATGTTCGTCAACATCACCGGCCTATCGCACTTGCGACAAGAGTTTTCCTCAGTTAAGGGACCATTTAGAAGGAGATATCGTGACGCCGCTGTTTTACTATGCACCACCTCAGTATAAAACTCGCATAGCAACATTTTGAGGGGTATGCTGAAGTAGGAACAAAAATGAGGGTGAGAGTCACGCTTTAGTAGCACCCCAGCGCCTGTTTGTCTTCTAGGCCTTCATCCACATTGTTCACAGGGTTTCCATCTATTCGGGTGACATTTTGATATCCACCTCCGGTCAAAATCTCTAGTGGCTTGCAACTACTCCAGAGAGCAGTACTCCGACTAACAGGACTGACAACCAAGCAGAATTAGATGACATCGTCCGTCTGCACCTCCTTTGGAAAGCGAAGATTTTATGCTAACTTAATGGAAATCTCCATCAATATTGCTTAGTTTTTTTAAACACGCAGTCTCATGCTGGCCAGCCCTTTGAAAGTATTTTTTGCTAACTGTCCGCCCGACCGACTGTTGATTATGAACAGGTAGAATAGCCTTGGTCCTGTACGTGAAAAGGCTCATCATGGACGCTACCTGTTTTTTTTTCATATCTCCTAAAGGTGTAGTTGAAAATCATGCGATCCAATTGACGTGTGCCTCACCTACCTAGTTACGCCATTACTGATAACTTCTCGATGTTGTCATCGCAAGCATTCTTTGTTTAGAGTCCGGACTTGCACTTTTCTCTATCGCACACGCGACTTTACGTCAATATTAATTTGTCCTCCTCTGTACGTGTACATTTACACTGCAGAATGTGTAGCTGATTTGAGCCCTATCCACTTGGCTGCCGCCCGTTTTCTTATAAACGCTAGTGTGCCGTAAACCAACAGTGTTCATTTCTCCGCTTTGCGTCTTCGGCGATTAGATAATGGCGGCTTCTGCTTCCCTAAGTCTGGCGAGGGTATTCGAATGGATGACAGATGTGTTAGAAAATTTCGAAGGTGTCAGAGATTCAGATTTAATTCCGCACTTTCGCCACTTTACGATTGTAATGTTATTTAAACGCATCGTAAAGTTTTACGAAGTCATTCCGGACAACTGGGGTCTTTCTGCACCTCTAAGGCCTTATTGCAATGAAAGGAGACTTTTTGGCACTGACATATGCCTGTTATTCGATAGTATGCAAAGCGAAATATAAGTACTAGTTGCTGAGAGTAGCTCGCATGCCTAGGTTGGATCTCACAGTAACGATTTTCACTTTCACACCAGTGGACGGTCATCGTCGTGGAAAATATCCACAGATCGAAAGCCTGAACCTGGACACTTTTACGGGAAAGACACCCTACTGATTACACTACTTAACTACCGCGGTAGAAATAAACATTCCATTTTTCACTGAATGCTTCAGTCAGCTTCACTGAAACTTTAAAAGACACTCCGCCAGTCGAGTCTGTAACCTTGTTTCCGGTGGCTGCATTAACTTCTGTAGGAAAGAACTGGAGGGTCAATTAAGGAATAGTGTTATGTCAGTCTAGGTAAAGCATTCTGATTTCCAGTCAGCACATGTAAACCACCAACTTTTGTTTTTTGTGTCTTCGGTTTTAGCTACTGGGCAGTTGCCTTTACCATATTGACCGGTGCTTCGACTCCGGACACTTCCCCGTACTTAAGCTTGTGCCTTTTTGTTGTAGGGCTCTTTGGACTCCTGTCCCAATCCCATGCACCTCCATGTGCAGTGATAGTTTTCCTCCGACGTCTCCATCTCACGTCAATATGCGTTCTCGATTCAGTGGTAGTGTAAGCCATGCCAGTACCTCTGTCCCCTCGGCGTCTTCTACTTCAACCAATCGCCTTGTCCTGCTACGACCTGACAAGAAGGTCATCGATGAGGTCTACAAGAGGTTGGAGAAGCTTGTACGTCTATGTCAGCACCCTAGACTTCAGCTACGTAACAGTCCGCCCTACCTGCTCGAAATTCTTCCTGACATGTACGAAAAGCTGAAGGCTATAATCACGGCCTACAGCAGCACACTGGATGAGCTCTTTAATACCCTCTATTTCCAAGTCTTTCTTAATAATCTAATGAACAAGTGCAAATCCACCTCCAAGCTCTTCAAGGAGGCCAAAGAACTAATGTATGATGAGCACTCTGAATATCGACGAAAACTGACAAAGAATTCCTTGGTATTCTCGCACATCCTTAAGGATCTGGAGGCCCTTTACCCAAACAACCATTTTTCACCAGAAACTTTCCGTATAACTAAGAAGGAGGCGGCTGACTGGTGGCGAAGTCATTTCGACTACAGTCCTATCGTTCCTTGGCAGTTGTTTCAGGCGGCACTGTCAGAGAGTTTCCATATTGACTGCAGATCCGAGTTACGTGCCCTGCAAAGTACCATTGATCTCACCTGCAATGACCACGTATCAGTATTCGAGTTTGACGTATTCGTGCGCCTTTTCCAGCCCTGGAACAATGTTATTGAGACCTGGAAGGCGCTGGCCATCCTTCATGCCGGCTACATGGCCTTTATGACCTACGACGAAGTGAAAGCTGTACTCAAGCGGTTTCGTCACCACCCTGGTCCAGGCAGTTATGTCTACCGGTTATCCTGTACCAAGCTCGGTCAGTGGGCAATCGGTTACATTACTCAAGATCGCCGCATTCTCCAGACCATCATTCAAAACAAGTCTCTTGCTCAGGCCCTTATTGATGGCGAACGGGAAGGCTTTTACCTTTACCCCAACGGAACACCCAGTCAGTCATCGATCTTGTCTTCACTAGTGGAGAATCTACCACAGACACACCTGCGTGTGTCTCAGGAGCAGTACCAACTCTATTGTAAGATGGGCTCCACCTTCGAGTTATGCAAGATTTGCACTGAAAACAATAAGAATGTGCAACTCGAACCCTGCGGCCACCTGTTATGCAAGAGTTGTCTGATCAGTTGTCAGGGCTCTGGCACAGGTCAGACTTGTCCCTTCTGCCGCCTAGAGATAAAGAGTATTGAGGAGATTATACTGGACCCATACTTACCCGACGAAGATGCGCCGGAATCCTCTCACGAACTATCCAACGATCACTCCCAAGGGGTGGATTCACTGGACGACGGACTAATTCAGAACGGGCAAACGCCTTCACCCAAACACTCGTTTGTCACTCAGACCATCACTCGCCTCCAACGTTCGGCCTCTCAGCGGACAGCCGCCACCTCCTACGATGACAGTTGTCTCACTGATGAGGTGATTGCTTCCCTACCTTCAGCTGCCACATCTGTCGTCACGCGGGCTAATGCCACTCGCGGCGGTTCCCTCGATCATCTGCTACGGATGTCCGCCTCCTCCAGTAATATTGTCTCGTCGAGGCCCCATCCGACTGAGGAGGTTGATGTTCGCCAGCCTCAGCAGTCGTCGCCCAAGGCCGCGGCAACACCCCCACCCCTGCCACCACACAGCAGACCATTCTCACAACTTTTGGCAACGTTGGATATGGTGCCACCATCGCCAGTAACACACTCCGCAGCCGATGCTGTTCACTTCCCTCCCACTAGAACCGTTTCCGCAGTGACCGATGCTGGTGACAATGTTGACGACCTGCCATCCCCTCCGCCCGTTCCTCTAGCGCCCTCAGAGACCCTAACAGTGGTCGAAAATAGCGGTGGAACGGATTGCGCGAAGCGTCTGCTTCTAAGAGAGGATGTTAAGGCAACTGATGGTCCCCCGATGACTGAAGAGGTAGCTCAGCAATTGCTGGAAATAACCAACGGTAACTATGATATGGCTGCCCGAATTTGGAGTGAATTCGTTCCTCGGTCGTCGATTGCGTTGACAAAGTGACTTCATCCGGTTCCTCCTTCCTCTGCTTGTCCTAATGTTTCAATTTTGTCGGTCGGATTGCTTACTCCTGTAAACTTCGAGACACCGTCTTATCTTCTCCCATCGTTCACCGTCTCTCCCCTTTTCTTCCCTCCTTCACATACCTTCCTTCCCCCACCTTTGGTTTAATTAATGTCTATTACTGAGATTCGCCCTCTAGAAGGTTTGCTGTTATGACCTTTGCTGCACTCAAATGTACTGTCACTTCGAGCTCCGTTTCATGAACGAACCCTTCTGTTCAAAGATCCGTTTTATTTTTTTAGGTCAGCTAGCCTATATATTTTACTTCAATAAAATATGCGTGGAATGCGCCCCGCAATTATTATTCACGTGGGCTGATTTCAGATTTCTCTGTGTCGTTCTGCAGATCTATCTTCGACTTTACGGGGCTTTGATGTTCCTCGGCTAAAAGTGAATGTTGAACGTCCTATCGGACCGCTCGCCTTGTACAGAATCGGTTCAGGGCGGTTTATACCCTGTATGTTTTCCGCCGCACCTCGTTTTAAGTTCGAAGCCCTGTCTCTCAGGCGACACTACTAAGCCTTTTAATGAACAGAGCTGTGGCTGTATCATTGATTCACAGTATTGCCATACTGTCGGTCAGTTGTCAGTGAACTTGCGCAAAACTGCGGTAGCATGCCATGTCTAGCTTTGCATTATTTCCCTACTACAAATCCTACCACTACTGAGCTGAGACCCTTCTTCGGGCGCGTTGTCAAGAGGGTTGCCCAACTAACTGGGGGAGGTTTTGTGGTATCTGGACGAAGGGGCGCTTGGAAGTCCAGTTATGTGCAAACGAAATGCGTTAATTTTGTTTTCTTATCATGGAGGTTTGAATGTGTCGCCGTCCGCCGAAAGCGTTATCATAGTCAATTTATTTGAAATTGTATGAAACAGTGCTACTTAGTTACGGTTTGACACAAGACAGCTGCCGATAAGCCCTTTTTAGTGAAAAGTGGAAAATCTCTTTTACTAAGCCATGAACGCAAAATTTGGCTGTTTTTTCCGCACCGCTGTGGGGATTGTGCGCTGTAACGTTATTCGGCCGCGCCAGTTCGCAAGATCCGTGATAGCGGAAACATATCCTGGGCATTTTTGACTTTTCTTGGAAACTGATTAGAGGGCGTTGGCGGGGCTAGTTTATCGCCCTTTTTGCCAAAGATTGTAAATATTCTTTGTTTTTTGAGGAACTTCGAACGGTAACAGGATCAAGGGGGACGATAAGTACCGGTTTAAGTGCGGTGATCTTGTACTTTTTGACATTGGTAGGGCATTTTCTGAGATGTGCAAATGCCAGACGTAGGACCGTGGAACTCAGGAGGAGACTAGGTGGCTGGAACAAGAGCGCTATTTGCTCGTTGTCTCGAGTAACTCGGATGAGGGCAACAGTAAATGGAGTGGGGGGATGCACGCAGCTACTGCGCAGTTACACATCAAGCGCAAGGGCGTGGAATGTGCTTTTAATTGGGACCGCAATTGATCGGGTGGCCACCTCTGGGTGGCAAATGGCTGTGGTTTCATTGCCAGTGTTGGTATCTGGCGCGATAAAAACTTGACGATTTGGCTCACCGGCACTGTTACCCGGGGCAGATTTTATCCGCGCATTCTCCGCCTGACTTGCAGTTTTCTTTACTTCACTGTTTCCTCCGTGGTTTGTCCCAGGGGTCAGGCTTACTGTGGAATTAGCTGTGTGGTTTCCACCCCCCGACTGCAGAGGGATGTGACCCTTGCCACCAGGACTGTATGAAAAATCGTGCTAGTCAGCTTTGGCTTTGAAATGGCTACATCCCGGCAAAAATGTCTCTAAAACCGATCGGATTCGAAGAGCAACAACGTTGCGTCTACGCATGTCGACAAACGGGGGGCCTAACTACTATATCTTGCCTGACGCGGCGCCTTAGGCTAACTAATGCATTAAAATGACGGTTAGGTGCGACAAAACTGGGTTGCTGGCGTAAGGTGACATTTTTAGATAAACTTTTTAAAACTTGTAATGACTTCCTTAACGGTATTTTCATACTGGCGATATATGGCCGGCGCAGTGATCACAGCTAGTTCTCATTGTGCGTTTCACCGATATCTTATTTTTTGGTTTTGTTTAATATGAACAGCCATAAAGTCAAATTGAACCCTGCACGAGTGCTGATTGTGAAGTATGTGTGTGCAGTGTGTGTGGGCCTATGCTGACAGGGTTTCTAGTCAATCGCCGGGAGGCAAACTTTCAGTCAGTGAACAGCACTTCACACAGCAACGGCATCAGCCGTCGTAATCTATTGGGGAAAATTTCATGACGCAAACGGTGAAGTTGGAACCCACTGACTGAGAGTTAACACCAATCCTTTGTTCTTTTCATTCTTTTCCTGGAGTTGGGGTCGGGGACTTAGATATCCTTACCTCCATAATGGTAGTCTCTGAAACGTTTTGTCTGGTGCACCAGGCTCTGACTGAGGACAGCCATGGATGTACTAAAAACTACTGGGCTCGCAGCATTTGATTGGAATTCTCTCTAGTAGCTGACCCGTTTTCCAAATCTCTCATTTTCAACCGCGTCAGCGCCAAAATCTTTAGCAGTTCGCTAATAGTTCGTCTGTTGTTGGCAGCAAGGGCCGGCACTGTCTGCGGTCAGTCGACGGCTTCCACGCCGTGGTTGTTTGCGCTACATAATAGTTAAAAATTAAGTTTTCTCGTTCATAGTCGTTCATAGTTCATAATGTACGTTTTTCGTCATCATTGGGATAATTTCGAAAAATGTGTGGGCTTCGGCGGATCAGAGGGATTGCATGGCCGATGTTTCAGAGGGCTTGGCCGGCCCTCAATCATCAAAGCCTTCTTCTGCAAAAAAAATCGGTCAGAATTTTAAATAAACGGCCGAATTGGTTGACCTTGGACCGATGTATTACTGTTAAGTTACAAAACATCTTCTTTTGGTCACTTAATCACAAGGACTTCGTGGGGATTGACTGTCTCGTCGCAGCGGTCAGGCAGAAGTTGTCTCACTCTGTCAATCGTTAGTTATTGTGAAATGGGGGTGAAGAATTAAAACGCCATCAAAAGATAGCATATGCTCATCTGGCTCTTATTTAGATGCCTTAAACACTCAAGGAGGTGAGTGGCGGGTATGTTAAACTTGCCCTCAATGTCTTCTGATTGTGAAACATTGCCGATACTTCTTAGCTTTCAGTAGCATCTACCGTGGATTGCTTAAAGTATTTGGGAAATTGGACAGTTTTGATGGGGTTTTCGAAAGCTAGGACTTTTTATAGGAGACAGGCGTATGATAGGTCATTTCGTCTGTCGCGAACAACGATGTCCGCCGTGTGCCCAGGGCGTTGTGAACGCAGGGCAGCGCTTTAAGCGTAAATTAAATTCCACTGATAGCAGACTTGCGCAATATCTGTCGCACTCTCTCTCTCTCTCTCACTCACGGTGACTAGCGAAGCTAAACAGCCCGTTTACGCCCACAACACATGACATGGTCCGTGCATGATGGACTAGGTTTCCCCAGAAATAAGGAGCTGCTCGGATCCTATCCGAATGAGAGTGCCATAGAGGCAACATTAAGAAGGAGCATTGCAGTCTGACTCTTCGTGCTGTGAGAACCAAGTTATCCACCCCGTTGGCGGCCTTCCATGCCATGACCTGTGGCTCCTCGTGGTAGTGTAAAAACTCGTCTAGTTGTGTATAGTGAGGAATGTACAGAAGTGACGTTGAGAAGGAGTCCCCGGGGTCGGCCTCATTCTCCCTCCTTCCCTCATGTACCAGTCCAGTGTCTGAACTGGTCAGCCGTCTGATGTGGGGATTGGACGCGAGTGTCTGGCAGACTTAAGCGTTGGTCTACGCGTGCCAAAAGCGACCCTATCCACACAAAACACGCCAAGCTGCCTGGTAGTTAAAGGGGAGGAGGGGAAACGTATGCACCATTATAAAAAATATGGCCCGTCCGATAGTGGACCACACATGTTCGACTCAACTTCCACTTTGTCTACTGGTGCAGGACAAAGCTGTGAACAAGCCATTTACAGCAACAGCAGCAACAACAACAACAACAAGAAGTTTTTATAAGAATATGCACTTACAGTCTCAGTTCGAGATATTTTTACGGGTGAGGAGCCATTTCGTGCTGCCGTGTGCAGTTAGTAACAAAGCACCATCGGATCATTATTCCAGAAATTCGAATTCATTGCAAGTAACTGGCTGCGAAGCCTCTTTTTATTAACTGTAGTCCTCACGAGACCTTCGACTTCCGCTCGGTACGGCCGCGTGTTTTGTAGGCGACGTCCTTGCGGTCAGCAGATCATGTGACGCTGCACACTGACCGACGTATGCTCTTTGTATCCCCAAGAACGCCCCCCATGAAGGCTGTTAGCAGATGAATCATTTTCAGGCGAGTCGGTAAATTGCATGGTGTAAAGCCAGCGGGCAGAAGTATCAGGCTCTTAAGGAAACTATGGGTTGTATGAGTTTGCAGCCTCGATCAGGGCGTACGTATGCCCAAATCTATCCTTATCCGGCTACTTAAATGCACGCCGTTCGCTTATGCATTAGTGGGCTACGGGAACGAAATGCGCTGTTTAAGATTTATGTGGCCTTACGTCGCTGCGAGAATCAGGTCGTTGAAGTTGCGATCGCTTCATTGTTGACTTACCGTCACTGTGAGGATCAGGTCGCTGGAGTTACGATCGCTTCATGGCCGACTTACCGGATGAACTCTCATGAAAGCACTACACACACGCCCTGTTCACTAGAGAGTGTTTTCGGACATACGGAAGTTTGGCCTCGCCCAACCGGAGAAAGTTCCATAGAATAGGCGCTCAAGTGGTCGCGCGATTGTCAGGAAAATGCCACTTCTGATTTTAGTCACGGATACTGCGCGTCCTGCCCAGACAGGTTTTGAAACTTCGGGAACACAAACATAAAAAAGAACGGAAATTGTCAAAAGCATTGAAAAAAGCAGAGAAGCG